AACTGGTAGCAGCACTATAGCTTTTAGTGGTATTTCTAAACGTGTTGCAAGAGTAGTAGTCAGTTCATTTTCATTACTGATAAGAAATGCAAGCTCAAATAATGACTGCTTAAATGCACAATGAATGTCCACTTTCTTTTCAATAAATCATACTACCGACAATTAGATGGAATAGCTATGGGTGGTTCACCATTAGGCCCAATATTAGCTGACGTCTTCCTCGCAAAACTTGAAAACGGGAAATTGAAAGTCATCATCAGGGAGTTGGATATGTATTACCATTCTGCCGATGACACATTTATCTTAGCTTATGGGAATGTAAACGTAGACAAATTGTTGCTGAAATTCAACAACATCCACCATTCGCTTACCTTTACTTGTGAAAATGAGCAGGAGAATAAACTACATTTCCTGGATATCTTTCTAAGTAGGCGAGAAGATGGGTCACTTGGGAGAAGCGTGTATAGAAAAATAATAATAATAATAATTTCGCTTTTATCCAGAAACAGTACTTGTGGTACAGTGTGGAATTTTCAGCACATATCTACAATATAGCATCTAATTTCGTCGTACATTTAAAAGGAGTATTACAAAAAAAATAATAAATATTAAAAATAACCAAAAAGAAACACAGAAATAACAAAAAAATGCAAATAAAAATAACAAGTAGAAAGGAAGATAAACATCAATAATGAAAAAAATATCAGTATTGGGTAGTGGAAGCTATGATATGTGTATGCGTGGTGAACTGTAACAGCTATAATCATACAAGAAAAGCACATTCACAGGGCAATACACACACTTCCTTAGTTACGAGTCCATGTTGTTAAATGTCTTACGAGCAGAGCAAGAAAGATATGTACGGAGTATTGAATATATTCACGATTCCTTGACGGAGATGGGCTATCCGAGTAGTTTCATAAAGAAACATATGAAAACATCAGAGAAAAAGACTGAGGCGATGAGTGCACGTAAAAAACCTCTTTTTACTAAGTTACAATTTAATGGTGACTTAACAAGTGAGATTTTATTCAAGAGACTTTCCAGGAGTATACGAAGAACATTTTACGCAGTGTACCTATGTTTGTCATTCTCTAGCCGGCGAATGATTGGAACGCAAAAAAAGATAGGCTAGATAGTTTTGCCACATCTATGAGCATTTATCAATTCAACTGCACCTCCGATGAAAGTTATGTTGGGCGTACTACTGTGGTGAGAGCAGGCCGTGAGAAAATATGTACAAGGCTGATTCAACAACCAATCACAGCAAAGTTAACGTGGCAAAATATGATTCGCAGATAGAGAACTCTATTTGTCGAGGAATCCCGAAACAACCAATCAGAAGCCTGCGTTTGTCTGCCTAACTTCTGATAAACAACCAATCAGATGACTGCGCTTGTCTACTTGCATAAGCTATAATAATGTATGTGAAATATATATAAATACGTGTTGATTTTCATAATAAAACGATCTGTTGCCTGGCCCTTGTCTTCTGTTGTTACATTTGGTGTCGCTGCCTACCGACAAATGGAAAGCCTATGCCTTGCAGTTTTTGATGGAGACATATGGATCTTCGGGCAGGACTTCAAGGCTTCTGCGCAGTTGAGTGGCGTTCAAGATCTGTCAGCGATGGAGCTGCTACTTGGAACGCTGCTTGGAGGTCGGGCGAAAGCAGCATATGAAAGTGTGAGCCGAAATACCGATGAATGTTCGACAGGGTCAGGCAAACAGTTTCCAAAGTGGGTGGGACCACATATGGTCACGTCGAGATGGGGTTACGCAGACACAGTCACAATGGCGAACAATGAGAGGCGCGTGAACGTCAGCGAGCTCCAGAAATGGATACAGCGAGACAAGCCAACGATGACGCCTGCACCAAGAAGATCAAGCCGACTTCAGTCGCAAGTCTTTGACGAGGGGACGAGTGTGGTGAGAGCAGGCCGTGAGAAAATATGTACAAGGCTGATTTAACAACCAATCACAGCAGACTTAACGTGGCAAAATATGATTCGCAGATAGAGAACTCTATTTGTCGAAGAATCCCGAAACAACCAATCAGAAGCCTGCGTTTGTCTGCTTAACTTCTGATAAACAACCAACCAGATGACTGCGCTTGTCTACTTGCATAAGCTATAATAATGTATGTGAAATATATATAAATACGTGTTGATTTTCATAATAAAACGATCTGTTGCCTGGCCCTTGTCTTCTGTTGTTACAATACTAGACAGCCTAGCCAACGTGTTAGCCACCCATAGTGGTTTGGCGAAGGACAGACAAAAACAATCCGTAGCTCAATTTTATCACATTTAATTGATAGTGTGGTGAGAGCTGGCTGTTAGCCGAAATGGGTGGACAGTAATTTACGTCAATGTTTATGTCCCAAATATTAGTAGTGAGAAAAATGACAACAAAGACTTTGCGTAGGCGGATACAGTTAGCATATGGGTGATCTGACATTCAAGAAACAGCCACAAGAGATGCAAGGTTATTAATATAAGAATAAAACTTGTGCACTGTGGTAAAGTGTAATTCCATTATGCGTAAATTTTGTTTTGATAAAGTCTCACAGTGTTATACAGTAATGTTTACTGATGACGTTTCGAGCACAATTTATTGCTCATAATCATATCAAGGTAATCACACGACTTCCTAAATTCATTTATATAGTTCCATTGTTTTTCTCTTGACTTTCACTTGATTTGATTGGTAGTAGTATTTTCCATATTTCAGGTATGAGTGACGAGTCATTCCTATTGCATGTGTTGGGTGTAGACTCGATGAACAAGGATTCAGTAATCAACCTCTCTCTCCACCTACCTAGATTACTTTTTAGAATTTTAACCCTCTCCCACCCTATTGTGTGGTTGTGTGTTAGCGCATGCATTGCAATTGCTGAGCTTTTTTCTAAATTACTTATCTTCTCGGGGTCAACCATTCTTACCTTAGCTAAATTCTTATGCTCTGACAATCTGACTACCCCTGACCTACTAGTTTGACCTATGTAGTTGACCTCACAGTCATTGCATGGTATTTTGTAAATAATATTATTTTGTCTAATTGGGTCAACTGGGTCCTTTAACCTACAGAGCTTGTCCCTGAGTGAGTTTGTAGGTTTAAATGCCACCCTAATTCCTATTTTATTCAGAATCCTACGTAGTGTCTCAGATGTCCCCTCTTTATATGGTATAACTGTGGATGACTTATATTCTTTCTTATTTATGTTATTATTACTAGTTTCACAATTATTTTTATTTTGTTTTTGGCCTTTAGTGATCTTCCTAATGAATTTTATAGGATAGTTATTCAACACCAACGCTTCTTCTATCTGTTTTAATTCATCATTTAGATCTTTTTTTGTGCTACTTAGTGCCACTGCTCGGTTTGTTAAACATTTAACTAAGCCTGCCTTAACAGTTAAAGGATGCAAGGTAAACTTTCTGTGAGAAACAACCAATCAGAGGACTGTATTTTTCTGCTACAATAACGTACACGAAAATCTATAAATACGTATTGATTTCCTTATTAAACGATCTGTTTCCTGGCCCTTGTCTTCTGTTGTTATAGTGGAGAAAACGAGAGCTTTGAAAGTAATTCATCGTATCCCACCGAATCTTTCCACTAGACTTCATATTCGTCTACTGCACACAGCTGAGGCGATATGCATACGAACTATTAAACCGAAACTAAGCATTGTAGAGAAGTTCGTACAGCCATTATCCCACCCTTATTGACCTATTAAGGCATAACCAACTGACGACTTCTACGCCACTCCATACTTATATTTTCAATCCCTCTCTTGTCGTCCCTTAATCTTATCACATCATCATAAACGTGTTTTATTTCCTTCCCTTACAATCTAGTATTACTTAATCGTTTCATTTGTTTCTACTAGCCTTTATTGACTACTTCCACCTGAAAATTTGTTTGTTTAAACATGCTGTTTTTATCATCTGTGTTATCACAGATTGTCTCAGTTTTTCATCCTTATTATTGATAAGACCATTATTATTATTAACATTACTACTATAATGACTAATTGCACAATTTATATTCACCATCTTGTTATCCTATAGACAAAACACCATGATTGGTTTATATTTGAAATGGTCGCGCTATGTCATGAATTGGCAGAAGTTAGACTTCATGAACTAGCCGTTGGATTGGGTCCCGGTGGATTAACGGTCTACGAGCTGGCTCGCCTTGTAACCAGAAAGTCCGGGGTTCGAACCGTGGTGGTGGGTGCGTACTACTGAAGAATTCCAAACTAGGGTGACGAAACAGCAGTCCAGTACTCCCAGTTGGTTTTCCAGTGGTTCTCTAACTGATGTCAGCTCATGTTGAAATACTCCATCACATTTTTATTTGTAAAGTTATGCAGGTATATTAGAGTTAAGCCTGATGAGATCTAACTGTTCACTTAAATGTGTTGTTCTAAATTTTACAATGGGAATACTAAAATATATTGGAACAGTCAAAAAGCAATATTTATTCTCTCCACTATTATCTATGTACAGTTAGCGGTATCAACTGCAGAAAAGAAAATGCACAATCCATAATATGATTTAATCAGTGAAACCATCATTAAAAATCAGGTGATAACAGTATCTAACATGTTTTAATCTATATTTAAACAATAATGGTAATAGTAACGTGATAGTGACGTGATTCTTCAGTCCAGAATCCAGTTCACTTATAATGCTTTAAGTTTGAATAACTTAACAACGCAAAGCCACATCCACATCGTCAGACAATCCGCATATGTAAAAAAAAACCAAAAAAAGAGTACGATGGAAAGGTCGATAAATGCAAAACACCTCGGAATGAGAGAGAAACTATTTTATCTGGAAGAGAAAAATCTCCGATGATGCACAAAAGGGTGATGATAATAAAGTTTTAGTTAAATGCAAAAATAATAATGATATTTCATCTCCCACTATATAAATGCTGAAAGATAAAAATTATTTAGAAAAAGAAATCAAAAGAAATCATAATAAGTACTAATACATAGTTGAATCAAAATTCTGCTGCTTGATCATGTTGTGTACACTGGAAGAAGAGTTTTCAATGAATTTATCCAATGGTCCATGATGGTGCATTGAGCCACCACTACTACTACTGCCTGGCCCAGAAGGTTTCACCTTTTGCAGCTTCGGTTGTCTACATATGCACAGGACAAGAATATGGATAGAAAAATGAAAAAGAAACAATAAAAAATCAAATTAAGTGACGATTTATCAACGCTAAAGTATATATTGCAAATCGGTGTGTATTCAGATAGCAGTGGAGCTATGGCACAATAGGTTGGACGCTTTATTTTCACCTTCTGGGTTGTAGGCATGGAACGCTGCTTCATCAACCGAGTTCTGAGCAGTCAGGGAGTATAATACGTTAAGCCCTCATATAATAGGTGTAACTTACTGCAAATCACACTTAAATGCATATGGTTGTTGTTGAGTAGGCAGTTAACAGTAGGCAGACAGCTGATGTTGTTGTAACCAATCGATCTCTTCCCTCACATAATTCAGTTGAACTTCTATTGAAATCTGTCGATCCAGATGAACATTTAGTCGGAAGAAATATAAAGTGATACTTATCTTAATTCCGATTGTTACAATTCGTCAGACAGATAATTGTAAACCGGTAGGAAGCACTGGACAGTTGTTCTGTCTTTCTTTCGAACTCTTCAACAGTGCCCACTCACACAACTACGGGTCGGACCTCAAACCTTCAGGTTACGAGACCAAGCTTGTTAGCCATCCAACCATTTGGGCCGGAGTTGAGTGACTCGTGAATTCTAACTTTGGAATTCATGATATACGGATACTCTCACCGATGTCTTCGAAGAGGATTGACTCCACCTTGATATGGTGGACCCCATCGATTACGGCTTTGCAGTACAGCTCCACACTGTTATACAGTAATATTTACTGATGATGTCATCATAAACATATCAAGGTACTCACACAACATTCTAAATTCGCTTATATAATGCGGTCATGATGCACGTCTGCAGCTAGATACCGCCTCTGATATTACTGTTATATCAGAGAAACTTTGGAATATATTGGCGACCACCACACCATACTTCAGTCTTTCAGCGCCTGTGGTGGGGCTCAAACTAATTGGTGAACTCAAATGTTCTGTTTCCTTCCGCAATACCAAATTCACAGGAATTTGCTACGTCACCAAGATGATTTAAATCTTTTGGGACTTGATTGGTTCGATCGTTTGCATCTGGCTGATGTCCCACTAAATTCGCTATGCAATGCAGTCAAGAAGCATAAAATGTCAGACAATTCCGGACGAAGCCGAAGCCGCAAACCCAACACAGACGAAAGACAGACGTCAACAACAAGCCCAAAGGTTCCAGATAAACCCCCAGGTAAACATCCTACTAATCATCATCTTCTCAAAAGGGGAGGTGATATGTATCCACATATATATATATGTATGTGTGTGTGTGTATGTTGGTCTCTCTTTCTGTTTGCTCGCTTAGTCTGTGACCATTTCACTTGTATGAACTTGTCTCCTTTATCAATGTATATTCTCCTTATATTATATTATATTATAATATGAGTGTTTGTTGACAGTCCGTTGCTTGGTGACATATATCCATATATGGTTGTTCACATGTCTGCTATATTCGCTATGTATATTTGGATCGACACTCCATTATAATTAGCCATTCATGTTAAGACTGTCTAATGATTTTTCCCACGCTTTGTCTGGAACATTTATATATATTCGCATTCACAATTTGTGTGAACTACTTTACTTACTTATCACTTTGGTGTGAGACCATTTATTTCCGTCTCCTTGTGTTTGGACAATAGAAGTATCATCGCAAACCTAGTGGTCTTCTGATTTCCGCCTTCTCGCGTTAGGACTATTAAATTCTCGACCAGTCCATAACAATAACTTAGCGACGAGTACATAACAATTTGGCGACGGGGAAAACTACTATTAACCACTCAGCAGCAGCAACATAACAATTTACTATGGATTATTCTAAATTAGAATTATTGTTTGAACAACAATTGAAATTAATGGAAATGTTCGTTAACCAACAGACTGGTCCAGCTTCACCTTTAAGCAATCCCAATCATACCATGCTACCATCTGTCGACGGCATTTTGAACAGTATTTCACAGTTCAATTATGACCCAGAGGCTAATGTCACTTTTGACACATGGTATCAACGTTATGAGGATTTATTCACTGTTGATCTCGCCTCACAAGACGATGCCTGGAAGGCGCGAGTGCTGTTACGTAAATTGGGTCCGGCAGAATATGAACGGTACTGCAACCTTATTTTACCCCAGAAACCACGTGACAAGTGTTTCGATGATACAATAAAGCTGCTGCGTGAACATTTCGGAGACCACTCCTCATTATTCAGTATACGTTATCGTTGCCTCAAGCTGGCAATGAATGAAAATGATGATTTTCTTACTCACGTTGGCACAGTCAACCGAGAATGTGAGAGATTTCGACTCAGGTCCTTAACAGATGATCAATTCAAAGCCTTGATCCTCATATGCAGTCTCCAATCTCCTCGTTTCACAGATATCCGAACTCGACTGCTCAATCAGCTAGAACAAAATCCCAAGTTAACATTACATGACATAGCTGATGAATATCAACGGCTGATTAATCTGCAGAAAGACACACACTTGGTCGAATCAACACCTTCGAGAAGCTCTGATATTCGTGCATTACGAAAGAGCAAAAATCTCTCATCATCTACTCCTGACCCACCTTCTCTTAATGTCCCGCGGAAATCTATCAACACTCGTCCAACTTCACAAAATACGACAAAGAAGACCCCTCCATCACCATGCTGGCATTGTGGCGCGTGGCACTTTGTAAAGTCTTGCTCATACAAAAATCATCGTTGCAGCAAGTACAAAATCATCGGTCATAAAAATGGGTTTTGTCAGCCACGCCAACTCAGATATCATAATCCAGCAAAAGCTCAACAAACTGTTGGTCCTAAATCTCCAAGGAGATCATTGAGTCTACGCGCAACCTGTCAAGTCACAACACCAGCTATGCGGAAATATATTAACCTTCAGATGAATGGTCATGATGCACGTCTGCAGCTAGATACCGCCTCTGATATTACTGTTATATCAGAGAAACTTTGGAATAATATTGGCAGACCACCAATCGGATATACTTCCCAGACTTTTCTCAGCGCCTGTGGTGGGCAGCTCAAACTTATTGGTGAACTCAAATGTTCTGTTTCCTTCCGCAATACCAAATTCACAGGAATTTGTTACGTCACGAAGAATGATTTAAATGTTTTGGGACTTGATTGGTTCGATCGTTTGCATCTGGCTGATGTCCCACTAAATTCGCTATGCAATGCGTTCAAGAAGCATAAAATGTCAGACGATTCCGGACGAAGCCGAAGCCGCAAACCCAACACGCAGACGAAACGACAGACGTCAACAAAAAGCCCAAAGGTTCCAGATAAACCCCCAGGTAAACATCCTATTAATCATCACTCTTCTCAAAAGGGGAGGTGATATGTATCCACATATATATATATATGTATGTGTGTGTGTGTATGTTGGTCTCTCTTTCTGTTTGCTCGCTTAGTCTGTGACCATTTCACTTGTATGAACTTGTCTCCTTTATCAATGTATATTCTCCTTATATTATATTATATATAATATGAGTGTTTGTTGACAGTCCGTTGCTTGGTGACATATATCCATATATGGTTGTTCACATGTCTGCTATATTCGCTATGTATATTTGGATCGACACTCCATTATAATTAGCCATTCATGTTAAGACTGTCTAATGATTTTTCCCACGCTTTGTCTGGAACATTTATATATATTCGCATTCACAATTTGTGTGAACTACTTTACTTACTTATCACTTTGGTGTGAGACCATTTATTTCCGTCTCCTTGTGTTTGGACAATAGAAGTATCATCGCAAACCTAGTGGTCTTCTGATTTCCGCCTTCTCGCGTTAGGACTATTAAATTCTCGACCAGTCCATAACAATAACTTAGCGACGAGTACATAACAATTTGGCGACGGGGAAAACTACTATTAACCACTCAGCAGCAGCAACATAACAATTTACTATGGATTATTCTAAATTAGAATTATTGTTTGAACAACAATTGAAATTAATGGAAATGTTCGTTAACCAACAGACTGGTCCAGCTTCACCTTTAAGCAATCCCAATCATACCATGCTACCATCTGTCGACGGCATTTTGAACAGTATTTCACAGTTCAATTATGACCCAGAGGCTAATGTCACTTTTGACACATGGTATCAACGTTATGAGGATTTATTCACTGTTGATCTCGCCTCACAAGACGATGCCTGGAAGGCGCGAGTGCTGTTACGTAAATTGGGTCCGGCAGAATATGAACGGTACTGCAACCTTATTTTACCCCAGAAACCACGTGACAAGTGTTTCGATGATACAATAAAGCTGCTGCGTGAACATTTCGGAGACCACTCCTCATTATTCAGTATACGTTATCGTTGCCTCAAGCTGGCAATGAATGAAAATGATGATTTTCTTACTCACGTTGGCACAGTCAACCGAGAATGTGAGAGATTTCGACTCAGGTCCTTAACAGATGATCAATTCAAAGCCTTGATCCTCATATGCAGTCTCCAATCTCCTCGTTTCACAGATATCCGAACTCGACTGCTCAATCAGCTAGAACAAAATCCCAAGTTAACATTACATGACATAGCTGATGAATATCAACGGCTGATTAATCTGCGGAAAGACACACACTTGGTCGAATCAACACCTTCGAGAAGCTCTGATATTCGTGCATTACGAAAGAGCAAAAATCTCTCATCATCTACTCCTGACCCACCTTCTCTTAATGTCCCGCGGAAATCTATCAACACTCGTCCAACTTCACAAAATACGACAAAGAAGACCCCTCCATCACCATGCTGGCATTGTGGCGCGTGGCACTTTGTAAAGTCTTGCTCATACAAAAATCATCGTTGCAGCAAGTACAAAATCATCGGTCATAAAAATGGGTTTTGTCAGCCACGCCAACTCAGATATCATAATCCAGCAAAAGCTCAACAAACTGTTGGTCCTAAATCTCCAAGGAGATCATTGAGTCTACGCGCAACCTGTCAAGTCACAACACCAGCTATGCGGAAATATATTAACCTTCAGATGAATGGTCATGATGCACGTCTGCAGCTAGATACCGCCTCTGATATTACTGTTATATCAGAGAAACTTTGGAATAATATTGGCAGACCACCAATCGGATATACTTCCCAGACTTTTCTCAGCGCCTGTGGTGGGCAGCTCAAACTTATTGGTGAACTCAAATGTTCTGTTTCCTTCCGCAATACCAAATTCACAGGAATTTGTTACGTCACGAAGAATGATTTAAATGTTTTGGGACTTGATTGGTTCGATCGTTTGCATCTGGCTGATGTCCCACTAAATTCGCTATGCAATGCGTTCAAGAAGCATAAAATGTCAGACGATTCCGGACGAAGCCGAAGCCGCAAACCCAACACGCAGACGAAACGACAGACGTCAACAAAAAGCCCAAAGGTTCCAGATAAACCCCCAGGTAAACATCCTATTAATCATCACTCTTCTCAAAAGGGGAGGTGATATGTATCCACATATATATATATGTATGTGTGTGTGTATGTTGGTCTCTCTTTCTGTTTGCTCGCTTAGTCTGTGACCATTTCACTTGTATGAACTTGTCTCCTTTATCAATGTATATTCTCCTTATATTATATTATATATAATATGAGTGTTTGTTGACAGTCCGTTGCTTGGTGACATATATCCATATATGGTTGTTCACATGTCTGCTATATTCGCTATGTATATTTGGATCGACACTCCATTATAATTAGCCATTCATGTTAAGACTGTCTAATGATTTTTCCCACGCTTTGTCTGGAACATTTATATATATTCGCATTCACAATTTGTGTGAACTACTTTACTTACTTATCACTTTGGTGTGAGACCATTTATTTCCGTCTCCTTGTGTTTGGACAATAGAAGTATCATCGCAAACCTAGTGGTCTTCTGATTTCCGCCTTCTCGCGTTAGGACTATTAAATTCTCGACCAGTCCATAACAATAACTTAGCGACGAGTACATAACAATTTGGCGACGGGGAAAACTACTATTAACCACTCAGCAGCAGCAACATAACAATTTACTATGGATTATTCTAAATTAGAATTATTGTTTGAACAACAATTGAAATTAATGGAAATGTTCGTTAACCAACAGACTGGTCCAGCTTCACCTTTAAGCAATCCCAATCATACCATGCTACCATCTGTCGACGGCATTTTGAACAGTATTTCACAGTTCAATTATGACCCAGAGGCTAATGTCACTTTTGACACATGGTATCAACGTTATGAGGATTTATTCACTGTTGATCTCGCCTCACAAGACGATGCCTGGAAGGCGCGAGTGCTGTTACGTAAATTGGGTCCGGCAGAATATGAACGGTACTGCAACCTTATTTTACCCCAGAAACCACGTGACAAGTGTTTCGATGATACAATAAAGCTGCTGCGTGAACATTTCGGAGACCACTCCTCATTATTCAGTATACGTTATCGTTGCCTCAAGCTGGCAATGAATGAAAATGATGATTTTCTTACTCACGTTGGCACAGTCAACCGAGAATGTGAGAGATTTCGACTCAGGTCCTTAACAGATGATCAATTCAAAGCCTTGATCCTCATATGCAGTCTCCAATCTCCTCGTTTCACAGATATCCGAACTCGACTGCTCAATCAGCTAGAACAAAATCCCAAGTTAACATTACATGACATAGCTGATGAATATCAACGGCTGATTAATCTGCAGAAAGACACACACTTGGTCGAATCAACACCTTCGAGAAGCTCTGATATTCGTGCATTACGAAAGAGCAAAAATCTCTCATCATCTACTCCTGACCCACCTTCTCTTAATGTCCCGCGGAAATCTATCAACACTCGTCCAACTTCACAAAATACGACAAAGAAGACCCCTCCATCACCATGCTGGCATTGTGGCGCGTGGCACTTTGTAAAGTCTTGCTCATACAAAAATCATCGTTGCAGCAAGTACAAAATCATCGGTCATAAAAATGGGTTTTGTCAGCCACGCCAACTCAGATATCATAATCCAGCAAAAGCTCAACAAACTGTTGGTCCTAAATCTCCAAGGAGATCATTGAGTCTACGCGCAACCTGTCAAGTCACAACACCAGCTATGCGGAAATATATTAACCTTCAGATGAATGGTCATGATGCACGTCTGCAGCTAGATACCGCCTCTGATATTACTGTTATATCAGAGAAACTTTGGAATAATATTGGCAGACCACCAATCGGATATACTTCCCAGACTTTTCTCAGCGCCTGTGGTGGGCAGCTCAAACTTATTGGTGAACTCAAATGTTCTGTTTCCTTCCGCAATACCAAATTCACAGGAATTTGTTACGTCACGAAGAATGATTTAAATGTTTTGGGACTTGATTGGTTCGATCGTTTGCATCTGGCTGATGTCCCACTAAATTCGCTATGCAATGCGTTCAAGAAGCATAAAATGTCAGACGATTCCGGACGAAGCCGAAGCCGCAAACCCAACACGCAGACGAAACGACAGACGTCAACAAAAAGCCCAAAGGTTCCAGATAAACCCCCAGGTAAACATCCTATTAATCATCACTCTTCTCAAAAGGGGAGGTGATATGTATCCACATATATATATATATGTATGTGTGTGTGTGTATGTTGGTCTCTCTTTCTGTTTGCTCGCTTAGTCTGTGACCATTTCACTTGTATGAACTTGTCTCCTTTATCAATGTATATTCTCCTTATATTATATTATATATAATATGAGTGTTTGTTGACAGTCCGTTGCTTGGTGACATATATCCATATATGGTTGTTCACATGTCTGCTATATTCGCTATGTATATTTGGATCGACACTCCATTATAATTAGCCATTCATGTTAAGACTGTCTAATGATTTTTCCCACGCTTTGTCTGGAACATTTATATATATTCGCATTCACAATTTGTGTGAACTACTTTACTTACTTATCACTTTGGTGTGAGACCATTTATTTCCGTCTCCTTGTGTTTGGACAATAGAAGTATCATCGCAAACCTAGTGGTCTTCTGATTTCCGCCTTCTCGCGTTAGGACTATTAAATTCTCGACCAGTCCATAACAATAACTTAGCGACGAGTACATAACAATTTGGCGATGGGGAAAACTGGTACATAACAAATGCCATTATCTCCCATCGCTTGATTTGATTGGTAGTTGTATTTTCCATGTTTCTGATATGAGTGATGAGTCATTGCATCCTATCGCACGTGTTGAATGTAGACTCGATGAAAAAGGATTTAGTAATCAACCTGTCTCTCCACCTACTTATATTACTTTTAATAATTTTAACCCTCTCTCACCAGCCTATTGGGTGGTTGTGTGTCAGCGCATGCAGTGCAAATGCTGATTGTTTTTCTAAATCACTTATCTCATATTTACTCTACCATATCTCAAACAAAGAATAATGAATATCATCAAGTGAATAATGGCACTGAGAGTGGAAGACATGAAAAGCCCGGATAGCTGTCTTTGATCATAGGTGCCTGCGCTCTATTTCCCGTGTAAAGTGGCATAATAAGGTGAGCAACATTGAAGTTAGGCGTTGAGTTCTAGGTAAACAGGGGAAATCAATCAACGAAGTCGTGAAGTTACAAAGACTGAGATGGTTAGGACATGTGTTACGTATGCCTAGTCATCGCCTCCCTCGACGGGCAATGTTAGCTGACATACGGTCAGGCTGGAAAAAAGCTAGCGGCGGTCAAACAAAAACATGGCATCAGTCAGTGAAATCCACAACAGTTGGTCTAAGCCACGTAGGAAGGTGTAGACTTCCAGGCTGGGGTCCTCGGGACGGTAAAAATCAATGGTTGGAAACAATTGGTGACATGGCTCAAAATCGTTCTCAGTGGCGCAGATGCATCCACTTCTTGTTACTTACGATTTCCAATGAAACTGTTTTGTTCTTCGTTATTACTCTTCCTTTGTCTCACACCTCTATTTACTGTCTGTATCATGCATTTCTTGTATTTTCTTCTCTTGCTTCGCGTGTGGCGACTTGAACTGGTGCACATTTGTGCAAAGTTCTATGTCGAAAACAGACAGACAGACAGAAGTGAATAATGGCGAAAGATAACCAACCTACCGTGTACTAACACCATCAGTTGATAGTGAGCCTTTTCCACCTGGCAAACGTGTAGATGACAGTTGTTGTAAGACAGTTGTTGATGAAGAACACTCATCACACGCGGATTGACCAGTGAATGTTTCTTTCACCGCTTCTAGAATAGCTGATCTATTTAAACATTCATCCAAATGATAATTGAACTGCCAATGTTTGAAAAAAATTAACAAAAGAAAAGGATAATTCAAATGATGAAGAGAATTATTGACAATAGGTAAGTAAACATAGTAATGAATACAAAAAATGGGTACCACTAAAGTCCTGTACTCCGCTCAGAACCCAAGGAAATAATAATATTAATAGTAATACTGAGAGTATGCACAATTTATTGCAAAGTCTATGAATCCTAGACCACAAAAGCCGCCCATACTTAGTGGCCCAAAAAAAACTAATCTACATGAACCTTCAAATCAATGGAGATTGTTCTGAGGAAACACTAAAAAACCGACTGTCATGCTCACTCAAGAAGACCTTCTTCGCAGCTGAACTACGACTAACTTTCTCCACAAAACCTATGATTCGTGTGAAAGTGAAGGATGAACTAAAACTGCTGGCCTCATCAATGTGTATCTACCAATTTACCTGCTCGTATGGAGTCAGGTATGCCGGCCGTACCCAGCGTTCGCTTTCCAAACATATCACCGAACACTTAACAGCATGGTTTTACAAAGGAGAAAAACGATGCCCCCCGAAACTCCATCTTAGAACATCTGATAGACTACGGACACCAAGCTACACTCCAAACAAACGTCAAAGTCATCGAGAGAATACGAAGCAGTCTTCCTAGAAGTGTACGAATCAGAATTCTTCAAACTGCAGAAGCAATGGCAATTTACTTGCTAAGTCCTGAACTCTGCATACAGAAGAAGTTCATTCAATCACTACAATTGCAATGGACGTAATCTATCTTATTACCCGACAAGTAAATTCTACCTAATCCTTTTCTCTTCTGTCTCTTCATTAGTATTATTTTGTCTTCTCAATTGTAATATTTTACATTTTCAACTTTCCTGTTCCCCATCCCCACCCGATTTAATTTCTACACCTCGTTACCATTGTTACTGACTTGACCAACGCTCAATTTCTAGTGATTTATGTTAAGTCATCCAATTTATTTGCTCAATTCTAGTCCCAATTTAAAGGGCATTATTCTCTATCCTGCCTCTACTTAGTCTCTGCCTGTAATTACCTCTGTTGTTATCCTGACCTAAGTTGAAACATTTTAGTCAATTATATTGCATTACCTAACTTACTAACTCAATCTTACTTTAGTTGCTGTCTGATTAACCTTGTTTCTATATTAGATCATTCTTGTATTACCTGATTAATTATCTAAACTTGACAAACCTTAGGTACCCACACACATAAAGTAATTATATATAAATGCTATATGAATGAATTCTCCAAAAAGAGTCTCTTCGCTGAACACCTTCTCTTTTTCATATGATTGAATCGGTATTTTCAAGGTATAATAGTCTTTATTTAATATACTGATAACAATTTGCGTTGGTGGTGCAGAGGTAGAGCGCTTGCCAACCAGTCGGGGTTCGATCCCCGGGCACAGACGCACTCATTTACCTTGATAAGCCGGTAGTATGGTTAGTTAAGAGGTAAGGATGGACATAAAACTAGCAACCCTACCCCGTAAAAACAAAACCACTGTTACCGGAACTTCAAAACTCTAGCTTGAAGCCATATATTCCACTCGGAACTAAAGGAATAAAAAAATTGTGAAGGAATGACTACCTACAACGACATCCACTAGCTGCTGCTGAACTACCAGCCCACAACTCTATTCAGTGAATAACAAGACTGAATCATAACACAAGACTTTGTTCTTGCAACTCCAATAATTATCCTATTACAATGATAAACTACAGATATGGTCTACGTAAGATTCTGTTTGAAGTAATCATTCATATTGTAGGAACGAATAAACCAAAAACTTATCACCCAACAATTATTCCTAAGGAAATGGAGACGAATGAGACATATTCTGAGGATCATCGGGCTCAAATTACCCAGCATCCAATACCCCCTGAACAGGATAGAAACTCAGGCCCTCTGTTCATAACTGAGGTTACTAAAGCTGTCACTAGTCTGAAACGAGGAAAGCAGCAGGACCTGATGGAATGACTCAAAGGTATTTAAGTTTGGTGGAGATACTTTACTGTCTGAATTAACTAAGGTACTAGGCAGCGTCTGGGAATCAGAGGAAGTCCCGTCAGGTTGGTGTAAGTCATTGATTATCCCGATATACAAGAAGGGAGACAAGTCTTCAAGTAATAATAACAGGGGTTAACCTTGATTAATATGGTGTCTAAAGTTCTAAACTCAATAATAATGCGTAGACTTAGCGGTTCACGGGAGTTTCAAACACGAGAGAACTAGGCAGGCTTTAGACCAGGAAAAGGGTGTATTGATTATATCTCCACTCATCATTCGATAGATTCTGCAACATAGGCATACTTACGGGCATCCAACAATCGCTATATTTCTTGACCTGAAAGCAGAGATAATTGGCTATAAAGGGAATGCCGAGAAAATACATTGTACTGATCAAGGCACTCACTCTACTCTAACCCACGCAACCAGCCAGGTAAGAGCTTACGATGAGTGGTCATCTGAAGTGGTGACAACTAGTGGTGTCCGACAGGGATGCCAACTCATTGTCCCCATTTCTATTCAGTTTCACCGAAGATGTACCAATGGAATCAACCCTAACTCACTTCAGCGACCCAGTGATTGCCTTGTTACCATCGCAGAATAATCACGTTGACTTAAAATATGCAGATGACATAGTCCTCCGTCCTAGGTGAAGACGCTAACAAAACGCAGTCTTTTGAACACCTTGATCAGCAGGAATCTTCAAATGTTTAGCATGAGATTTATTGGGTCTATCAAAAGGGAAATCGTCCTGTGGTGAGAGCTGGCTGTTAACCGAAATTGATGGACAGTAATTTACGTCAATGTTTATGGCCTCAATATTGGTCGTGAGAAAAATGAGAACAAAGGCTTTGCGTAGGCGGATACAGTTAACATATAGATGATCTGACATTAAGGAAACAGCCACAAAGAGATCCAAGGCTAACTTTGAGTGAGAAACAACCAATCAGAAGACTGTGTTTTTCTGCTAACAATAATATATTATATGTACATGAAAATGTGTAAATATGAGTTGATTGCCTTATTAAACGATCTGTTTCCTGGCCCTTGTCTTCTGTTGTTATAGTCCTATATGACTGGACTGAACTACATCGACTTCTAGCTTGAAGACAGGGATTGAAGTGGTGACTAAACGTGTTAACCACTTCACTCATTCGGGAAGTTACATCAGCTAACGCCAGCAGGTTGATCGCTGACAAAATCGCAGCACAGATACACAAGGCGCGTTTCGCATATGCCAACGTACGCCATCTCTGGCTTAGTGGACATAATAGCCGGCCGACTGTCGACCAAAGGACGTGTGTACTGCTCAGCAGTTCGATCTGTCCTCCTCTATGGCTGTTGGTGAGACATGGCCATTGAAGGTGTAAGACATAAAAAGGCTATATAGCTGTCTTTGATCACAGGTGTATGTGTTTTATCTTCTGTGTTAAGTGGTAGTATAGTAGGGTTGTGTTGAGAGCTGTCTACAAGACAAAATTGTAGACAACAGTTGACGTCAATGTTTACGTCTTGATTCGGGGTCATGAGAAAAAATAAAAACGAAGCCTAACCTTGAGGAGCTCAGTAGCCAATCACTGCAGACTAAACGTGTGTGAATACGATTCGCAGATATACGAATAACTTAGTACGAAACGGTCACGAGCAGTACAGACTAACCTTCAGCAAGGAAACTACCAATCAGAAGACGTTGCTTCTATGCTAACAACGCTAATAATAATGTACATAAAAATCTGTAAATATGTCTCGATTTTCTCAATAAAAGATCTGTTGGCTGGCCTTTGTTTTCTGGCGTTACAAGGTGAGCAACAGTGAGGTGAAGCATGGTTCAAGTGCTAAGTAAGTAAGGAGGGGAAATCAATCGACGAAGTTGTGAAGCAGCTGCATCGATTGAGGTAGTCGGAACGCATGTTACGCATGCATGCTTAGCCATCGCCTTCCTCCACTGACATAAAATGGTTCAGCTTGGAAAAGAGCTAATATTGGTCAAACGAAAATATGGCCTCATCAACCAAAGAAAAGCATAACAGTTAGTTAGCCAGCCACGTAGGAAGATGTAAACTTCCTGCTTGGTCGGCGTCTTCGCGATGAAAAGAAGCAATGACGGCTGGAGACGATCGGTGATATGGCTCCAAATCCTTGTTGTCAATGGCTGGCATAGATGCATTCACTCCTTGCGATTTATAATATCCAATAAAATTTCACTGTTCTTCAATATTACCATTCTTTTTCCCTCACACTTCTGTTTATTTCTCTTTACCCTTTTCTCTTAATGGAAGGAAAGTGGCAACCGGAACTGCCGCACATCTGTGCAAAGTTCCACGTTGAAACCAGTTAGTCACTCAGACTCTAAGGAGACCGTTGAATGACACCCTTGAGTGAGACCTGAATGGGAAAAACAAGTTGGGTGTGAAAGTTCAAAGGTGAAATAGAGGAGATCATGTGGAAAGGAGATGACAGCCTACTATCAATCGTGGCGACGGATAAAGAGGAGACTGCAGAGATCAACATGATTTGGATCCTATAATACACTATGATTAACAACGTCTGAGAGTTTCACATAGAGATTTTGGAAAGCGAGATCTACAATGAATAATTCTGTTCTACTACACTGCATGAACTTGATATGATTATGAGCAATAGTTTGTGCTCGAAACGTGGTCATCAGTTAATATAACTGTACAACACTGTGAGAACAAGTCCGGGCATTTCGATTAGTGCGCTACAATTGCTTAGGTAAAATACAACTCTCATTTCTCTGGTGTTTGTGACCACGAAGTTTTGGAAATTATTGCAATCTCTTTACTTTCAAACACTTAACCTGTGGATATAATCTTGTTGATTAGTAATACCTATAACTAACTGTTTGGCATTTTGTGACTTTTTAACACTAATTCATATCTGTAATTGTATATATTGTTGGATTTATATGTTCAAGTTGGCCCAAGTCAGTGAGTCTATGGTTTTGGTACCATTTTAGTTAACTGTGCTTAACTGTATTGCATGCTGTTGTATTGCATTGTTGTTGTCGCTTGTTGCCCTTTTTGCTGTGAATTGCAGTAGATTGGATAATGAGACAGACAACCGGCAATGGGGAAACAGGCATAAAATGGACTCACACAAAAAGAGACTTGGAGGATCTGGACTTCGCCGATAACATATATATGTCTGATTTCCCACAAACTGGAAGATATGCAAATGAAAAGCAACAAGCTGGAAGAAGAAGCATCCAGGGAAGACAGGACTTCAGGTGAACAAAGATAAACAGATGTGATGATGAAGATTCCTGGGCAACAGCAACAACAGACAACAATCAGCCAGCAAAAATGGGAGGAACCTGAAAGGAACAACTTCTTTTACCTACCTGGGAAGCATTGTTTCAACTACAGGCGGATGGAACTGACGAGGATATCGAAGCAGCGAGGATCGGGAAAGCAAGACAAGCTTTCATTACTCTCAAGTCTGTATGGAGGTCAACAGCACTCATCATGAAAATGAAAATAAGATCCGGATTTTCAAGTCCAATGTGAATTCAGTGCTACTCTGCAGATCAGAGACTTGGCGAGTCATAAAGAGCATCTCAAACAAACTTCAGACTTTCATTAGCAGTTGTCTTCGCTCAATACTCAAGATCAGATGGCTAGAAAAGATCAACAACAGAGATATCTGCCAATGAGCGAACCAACCAGGAACCGATTGTGAAACAAACAGGCAGGAAGAAATGGGGATGGATTGGCTGGTCATACGCCGAGGAAACCATCAAGTGACATCACTAGACAAGCCATCGCTCAAGTGGAACCCGAAAGGGAAGCGGCAAGTTGGTCGTCAGTGTGAGGATGACTTGGAGGAGGTCATGTGAGGAGGAGATGAAAGCATGTGGGCTGACTTGTAGCGGAGTGAAAAAGTTGGCAGAGAACTGAAGGCAATGGAGACGCGCAGCTGAAGCCCTATATTCCTGTAGGAATTAAAGGAAATAATAATACTACACTACATAAATTACAAAACGTTATTTTGAATTTGACTCACTTTCTCTTCAGATGAAAACTGGAAATTTTTTTCACAAACAGGACATGGGAAACACGTGTAAACAGCACCCGAAGATAATGACATTGATGATGATGATGACGGTATGGCTGTTGTTGATGTCGACGGCAGACATGTTTCAGGAAAGGAGTTTAGTGAAACGACACATGCATTCAATGTACTAGGTTGATTAATTTTCATCGATAAAGGTGTTTTAGTCCATTGAGTAAGCTGGAAATTGAGAAAAAATAAATAAATAAACAAATAATGTAAGGAACAATCACAGATAGAATATTTCTGGACATCTCTACGTTATTCTATTTCAATACATCTTATAAGTTTAATTTACTTTCATTAATTTCCCACTTTCGCGTTAACTACCCTATTCCAAATGGATATGTAGCACACATACCAGCACAAACATACTTTATTTAATACGGTGCAGACGAGAAGACCTATACAACAGGAAAAAGAAGACAAAATTAACACCATCCACAAAATACATCGCTTGAACTGCGATAAACACACACTTAACTACGCCAACTACAAAATGTGGGTGTCTCCATCGGCTTTGAATTCAAGTACATAAAGTAGTTTTCAAATGACACGACATGTTTCCTTTCATATTGACACATGAAGACAATTATCCATACCAATTTAATTAAGAATACATAGAAATTTCTAGGAATTTCTGGACGCCTGCTACTCAGATGAATCGGTAATGATTAAAAGACACTATCAGCGAAATTATCAACAAATAAAGAATACGTAATATTGTGTGAAATTTGATAGCACAGAATTTAGCGTTGCAAAACAAAGCTGATTTAGAATGACAAGTGGAACAAGTGAAATAATACCGGGGACAGTTGAAAGTGAGAGTAGAAATATTAACAATTGACGTAATAAGGAAGAGACTACAATTTGAATAGACAAAATGAAAAAAATGAAAAATTGGTAGAGCCAAAATATAATTGGGGATTACCATACTTTAGCATAGAGAGATTAACACTATGAAAGTTGGGGGGGGGGTTGAAGGAAATTTTTCTGTACACAGAGATCTGGCCTTTCTGTTTCGACAGCCAATGCTCCAGCAATACAGATGAACCGGGTAAGTAGTGATTCTGGTAAATTATTCTTTGCCTTGTAGACGACTTTAAAGGTAGAGGCTATAGAGATAGGATGATCATTATCGACCAGATGTTCAATGACCGCGCTTCTTATTGCTCCAATTCCACCTCTTTCTAACCATTCAGGATAGTGTTCCTGCACCCTCTTAGACAAAACTCGAGTCGAACGACCGATATACCTAGCTCCACACGAGCAGGTGAATTGATAAACACATATAGAGTTGGTCAATAGCGGGATGCTGTCCTTCAGGTTATTGGACAGTAATGGTCGACTGGTAAAGGCTATTCTCAGAGATGCAGCAGGGAATGTTCTTTTCAGGGACTGTGATATCCTTCGTTTCATGATATCGGAAGCTAGATCCCCTTTGAATTCCAAGCTCAAGAATAAACTGCATTATAAGAATACCTAAATTCCCAGTCGATAAAAACACAATCAATAAAGATGTAAATTAACAACCAATCACGAAAAAGAGGTTGTCAGGAGATACAAATATATCACCACTATTCATACAGGATTCAAATAACTTCACTTCATATGGAAGCTTTCGCTAAGGGATTGTCTAGAAGACGGATTGCTTTTGGCATAAGCAGTAACAGGTGAAATTGTAAGATAATTGAAATAGTATCACCATAAATTTACAAATTAGAGAAGATCACACATTTACACTTAACACTATCTCTATCACATAGAACGCGGGTGGCCACCAATCTAGGTAACTCACATTGCACACTTGACTGATAGAATTCAGTCTGCACCAAAGAAAAGATTAGACACATTACACTAGTTACTGACTAGTGTCCACTCAAAGTACCCAATACAGTCCTACAGAAGGTCAATGGCGAGCCCGAATAGCTATTATTGTGGTGAGAGCTGGCTGCTAGTCAATAATTGGCGGACAGTAATTTACGTCAATGTGTATGTCCTCAATATTGGTCGTGAGGTAAATGAGAACAGAGGCTTTGTGTAGGCGGATACAGTTAACATATAGATAATCTGACATTCAACAAGCAGCCACAAAGAGATGCAAGGTTAACTTTCTGTGAGAAACAACCAATCAGAAAACTGTGTTTTTTCTGCTAACAATAATCTATAACAATGTACATGAAAATCTATAAATATGTGTTGATTTCCTTAATAAACGATCTGTTGTTACATTATTATTTTTTCCTTTAATACCTGGAGGAACTTAGGACTTCAGCCACGCGTCTCCATTGCGTTCGGTTCTCTGCTAACGTTTTCACCTGGCTCCAAGTCTGTCCACATGCTTTCATCTCCGCATCACATGACCTCCTTCAAGTCACCCTCACACTGACGACCAACTCGCCGCTTCCCTTCCAGGTTCCACTCGAGCGATGGCTTGTCTAGTGATGTCACTTGATGGTTTCCTCAGCGTATGGCCAGCCAATCCATCTCCTTTTCTTCCTCCATATTTGTCGAAAAATCGGTTCTTGGTTGGTTCGCTTATTGCCAGAGATCCCTGTCGCTGATCTTTTCTGGCCGGCTATCTGATCTTGAATATTGAGCGAAGACAGCTGTTGAAGAAGGTGTGCAGATTGTTCGAAGCGCATTTTTTGATGCGCCAAGTCTCTGATTTGTATAGTAGCACTGAATTTACATTGGAGTTGAAAATCCACATCTTGTATTTTCATGCTGAGTGCTGTTGACACCGAAAAGCTAACTCAGTGGTAACATCAAAACACTTATCTCTAATACTTTGTCCCATTAGAAATCGCTCAAACTCTAGACTAACTAATTCATATGAGATGAAAAGTAAGCTAAATGACATTCAACTAGAAAATGATGAAAAAATGGTTAGTTTTGATATAACTAGTCTTTATACTAATATACCAGTTAATATGGCCTTAGAAGCAGTTAAAAAAGAATTAACTGCGGATCCGGAACTCAGTCATAGGACAAAGCTGTCCATTGAAGAAATTATTTTAGGGATTCAGTTATGCCTCACATCTACTATCTTTAAGTTCCAAGGCAAAATATATAGACAAACAGAAGGTGTAGCAATGGGATCACCAATATCCCCTATCGTAGCAGACATATTTATGGACAGCTGGGAAAATAGTGCCCTCAATACATTTAACCCTACTCCGAAAATATGGTGGAGATATGTGGATGACACTTTCACAGTGTTAAAAACAGAACACATCTCTAGCTTCTTGACACATATAAACTCACAAGTTGAGGGAATAAAATTCACATTTGAATCAGAAAATGAACAAGGAGAATTAGCTATGTTAGATTGTAAGATAAAAAGAATAGAAGAAGGCAAACTACACACTAGTGTTTATAGAAAACCAACGCATTCTAATAGATATTTAGACTTTAATTCGTCTCATCCTTTAACTGTTAAGGCAGGCTTAGTTAAATGTTTAACAAACCGAGCAGTGGCACTAAGTAGCACAAAAAAAGATCTAAATGATGAATTAAAACAGATAGAAGAAGCGTTGGTGTTGAATAACTATCCTATAAAATTCATTAGGAAGATCATTAAAGGCCAAAAACAAAATAAAAATAATTGTGAAACTAGTAATAATAACATAAATAAGAAAGAATATAAGTCATCCACAGTTATACCATATAAAGAGGGGACATCTGAGACACTACGTAGGATTCTGAATAAAATAGGAATTAGGGTGGCATTTAAACCTACAAACTCACTCAGGGACAAGCTCTGTAGGTTAAAGGACCCAGTTGACCCAATTAGACAAAATAATATTATTTACAAAATACCATGCAATGACTGTGAGGTCAACTACATAGGTCAAACTAGTAGGTCAGGGGTAGTCAGATTGTCAGAGCATAAAAATTTAGCTAAGGTAAGAATGGTTGACCCCGAGAAGATAAATAATTTAGAAAAAAGCTCAGCAATTGCAATGCATGCGCTAACACACAACCACACAATAGGGTGGGAGAGGGTTAAAATTCTAAAAAGTAATCTAGGTAGGTGGAGAGAGAGGTTGATTACTGAATCCTTGTTCATCGAGTCTACACCCAACACATGCAATAGGAATGACTCGTCACTCATACCTGAAATATGGAAAATACTATTACCAATCAAATCAAGTGAAAATCAAGAGAAAAACAATGGAACTATATAAATGAATTTAGGAAGTCGTGTGATTACCTTGATATGATTATGAGCAATAAATTGTGCTCGAAACGTCATCAGTTCATATAACTGTAAACACTGTGCGATTTATCAAAATAAAAATCTTATCTATAATGGAATTATACTCTACCACAGTGCCCAAGTTTTATACTTATATGGTAACATCTTTGACTGCAGCACTGGGTGATGCGGGTTCGAATCTCAGAAGGGACATGAGTTCCTTCAAGGTTGCAGATAGACCTAGCTGACGAGTGCCAACTAGCACGAAACTTAAGCGAGTCAATGCTTCCTGCCGATTGCCTGCAATCATGTAATATCCTCAAATCAATGTACGTCATGATGGCGAGCTATCTAGAATGGTGGCCACATAACAAACTTGCACCAAAGAAAGGACTAGACACATTCCACTAGTTACTAGTGTTCAATCAAAGTTGATAAAAATTTGGGCAATTCACACCAGTGTTGAAGTAATTTCTAAAATACTTCGTGAATAACTCTGTCAAAGACCTTTTTAAAGTTAATCAAATTGAGGTAAAGATATAACTGCTATTCTTTACGTTGATCAATGATGATTTGTAGCGTCGCCATTTGATTCACAAATGATTTGATTTCCCTGAGTTCAGTTTATTCCGGTGGACGAAGTACTCCTACATGCACTAAAGTTTTCTGTCTCTCCAGGATGACGCGACTTATTATTTTGCTTGGCATGGACAACAGCATAATTCTATGCCAGTTCTTGCAGAGGCTTAAAGTCACCCTACTTTGGTAGTTTGACAAGATAGCCTTCTTTACAAACATTTTGCAATGTTGACTGGATTCGCTTTCACTGCTTCAGGGGGTTCTACTGCCTACCCGGCTTTCAGCAGCTCGATTGTGACCAATAATTTAAACACAAATAGTTATTAGATCTTTCTATGTTTGTTTTGACAGCAACAGAAGTCTTCAAAACCATCTTGTTAGCTACGATGTGTACATTCAAAATGTGAAAGGTTGAATAAAAACAAAAGCGAAAAGCGAATAGGCATCACGATGAATACTGCTTTCGCTATCCAACTTAGGCTTACTTTGCTCGATCTGCTATTCATCGAGGATAAAGTCTAACCTACTAGTATTAATGTTGTGTACAAAACAAACAAAAAGACATAAAAATAAACATACTTCACCATTCATAATTGGTAAATCAAATAGTGATGTTTGTTCATACAAGTAATACACAAAAAAAAACCTTGTTCGTAAGTGATACTTATTTCTATAATAGGGCCGTTGTAAATAGGTGTTTCTAAGAATAATAATTATTGATTTTCACATGTTTTATGCACAAAATCCATTTCCACTATCTTTTCAACAATGAGATTTGCTTACTTTGCATGGATGTATAATAGTAAGTTAGTATTTGAGGTACATTTTCCGCCTTTTTCTCATTTGATACGTTCCTAGTGAAAATTGGAGGGCATTGAAGTCTGAAGTAGCATTGGAGATGTTTCTATGGGATCGTCAACCTCTCGTCTAACCTCCAGTGTTCCATGGATTACAGCTGACTGATAAGCTACACGAAGTTTAGGAGTGGATTGGAACATAATGTCTCAACCGGGACATTTCCACATTTCGTCTTGTTCCCTGAAGTCTTTCTTAGCTAGCCAGCTAGCTGGCTTTACGATTAACCATAAATTCTCATCTCCTCCTCACATGTTCTCCTTCATGTCACCAACAGTCTTACACTGAACTTGCCATTTTCCATTCGAATACCGCTCAAGGCACTGTTTGCAGCGCGATGTTACTCAACGGACTCCTCAGCGTATGCCCAAGCAATCTTCATTTCCTTCAGCATTTTTGTTGGGAAATAGATTTTTGTTGGTTCGTTCACAGAGTTCCTTATAGTTAATCCTTTCTGGCTGTCCATCAGATCCTCAGTATCTACTATGGAGACAATTCAGCTGTTGGGGGAATTTGTGGAGGCCTGTGCATAGGTGGACACCCCCATACACCAAACGAAGCCTGATCCGTTAACTCAGCTACATAGTTCGCAGAATCTGCACCCTGGATACCATAGAAGAGGAACTGGACAATCTCAAGAGAATTCTTGTCGAGAATTGTTATCCAGAACGATTTATTGCAAACTCCATGAATCCCAGGCCACAAAACCCGCCCACACTTAGCGTCGTTAAAAAATACTTTACATAAACCTTAAATTCAATGGAGATGTATCTGCAGAAACGCCGAAAAATCGACAGTCCCGTTCACTTAAAAAAACCTTCTTCGCAGCTGAACTAAGACTAACTTTCTCCACAAAACCTATGATTCGTATGAAAGGGGAAGATAAGCTACCACTTCTGGCCTCATGTATGTACATCTACCAATTTACCTGCTCGTATGGAGTCAGGTATGTCGGCCGTACCCAGCGTTCGCTTTCCAAACATATCACCGAACACCTACCAGCATGGTTTTACAAAGCAGAAAAACGATGCCCCCCGAAGCTCCATCTTAGAACATCTGATAGACTACGGACACCAAGCCACACCCCAAACAAACATCAAAGTCGTCTACAGAATACGAAGCAGTCTTCCTAAAAGTGTACGAATCAGACTTCTTCAAACTGCAGAAGCAATGGCAATTTACTTGCTAAGTCCTGAACTCTGTATACAGAAGAAGTTCATTCAATCACTACAATTGCAATGGACATAATCTATCTTATTACCCGACAGGTAAATTCTACCTAATCCTTTTCTCTTATGTCTCTTCATTAGTATTATTTTGTCTTCTCAATTGTAATATTTTACATTTTCAACTTTCCTGTTCTCCATCCCACCCATTTAATTTCTCCACCTCGTTACCATTGTTACTGACTTGACCAACGCTCAATTTCTGGTCATTTATGTTACGTCATCTAATTTATTTGCTCAATTCTAGTCCCAATTTAAAGGGCATTATTCTCTATCCTGCCTCTACTTAGTCTCTGCCTATAATTACCTCTGTTGTTATCCTGACCTAAGTTGAAACAATTTAGTAAATTATATTACGTCACCTAACTTACTAACTCAATCTTACTTTAGTTGCTGTCTGATTAACCTTGTTTCTATATTAGATCATTCTTGTATTACCTGATTAATTATCTAAACTTGACAAACCTCAAATGCACACACACACACAAAATAATTATACATAAATGCGATTGTATAGCTATGTGAATGAATTCGCCAAAAAGAGTCTCTGCGCTAAACGTCTTCTCTTTTTCATAATAATAATAATAAAGAGTTGAAATGTGCAACAATTTCAATCATTCGAAGACTTTGTTTTTACTGTATATTCAGTAGTTAGTTTTTAGGGCAGTGATTTGTTTCAATTATTTGATCACGAGGTGAAATCAGTTGGAGAACTGTGGAAAAATGGTGAAGAGTACTGGACAGTAGTTTCTTTCTAGTAAGGGATTCCTGGGAAATACGCACCGACCGTTGTTTGAAACCAGCACCCTCTGGTTTCAAGGTGACATTGTCAACCATTTTAGTCACTGAGACCAGATCCGAAGCCCAGTCTATGAATTCCAACTTCTGCCAAACTTGAAACAAACCAAATCCCCATAATTGCATAGAGGGCTTCATAATAAGGTGACATCAGTTAGAGGACCACTGGAAAACCTGGGAGTACTGGATAGCTGCTTCGTCCTAGTTTGAGACTCCTCATCAGTACGCACCCGCCGTGACCAGTAGGGTACAGCAGGTTGAAGATGAGGCAGTAACTCATTGAAGAAGACATTACGAATTGGTCACGCTAAGTTGTGAATTAGAAGAAGTTCGGATTCATGGGCCAGTGGATCGGGTCGCATTGGCTCAATAGTCTACGAAGTCACTTTGCAACCAGAAGGTCCTGGGTTCGAACCATGGCGGTGGGTGCGCACTTCTGAAGAGCACCAAACAGTACTGATGAAACAACTGTCCAGTACTCACAGGTTTTCTAATGGTTCTCTAACCGATGTCAGCTCATGATGAAATTCTGTGACCAATCAATCAGTAAATCAGATCCTTACAAACCAAAACTTACAAATCCCTATAAATTAATTCTTAAAAATTAGTCGCATTCTCGCTAGTGACTACTGACTACATGATGAAGAAGCTTGGAGTGTTAGTGAGAAGTCACGATCAAGGAGGTCCATCATATCAGCCGTGAGACAAATACCCCCCCCCCGATGATACTGGCTGCTGATCGCGCTGAAGTGAAAAATTCGCAGAGGTTGGAATTCATGGGATGATCATAGGATTGGGTCCCAATGGGTGGCTGAATGGCATATGACATCATCTTGTAACCGTAAGGTCCTGGTGGTGAGAGCATAATGCTGAATAAGAGTCCCGATATTGGACGGAATAGCTGTTCAGTACTCCTAGATTTTCCACCAGTGGTTCTCTCTCACTGATAGTAATCCGTAATCCAACCTGTACGTAGTCTTTATAGTCAAGGGAAATCGAACTCAATCATAGGACAAACTTGCTCATTGAAGAAATTATTGTAGGGATTCAGTTATGCCTCACCTCTACTTACTATCTTTAAATTCCAAGGCAAAACCTATAGACAAACTGAAGGTGTAGCAATCGGATCACTAATATCCCCTATTGTAGCAGACATATTTATGGACAGCTGGGAAAATAGTGCTCTCAATACATTTAATCCTACTCCTAAAATATGGTGGAAATATGTGGATGAGACTTTCACAGTGTTAAAAACATAAGACATCTCTCTCTAGTTTCTTGACACATGTAAACTCACAAGTAGAGGGAATAAAATTCATATTTGAATCGGAAAATGAACAAGGAGAATTAGCCATATTAGATTGTAAAATAAAACGAATAGAAGAAGGTAAACTACACACTAGTGTGTACAGAAAACCAACTCATTCCGCTAATAGATATGTAGACTTTAATTCGTCTCATCCGTTAACTGTTAAGGCAGGCCCAGTGAAGTGTCTAACAAACCGATCCACAGCACTAAGTAGTACACGAAAAGACCTAAATGATGGAATAGAACAGATAGAAGAGGCTTTGGTGTTAAATGACTATCCTTTAAAATTCACTAGGAAGATCGAAAAAGGCCAAAAGAAAAACAAAAATGATTGTTAAACCAGTAATAATAACATACATAAGAAAGAATATAAGTCATCTACAGTTATACCATATAAAGAGGGGACATCTGAAACCCTACGTAGGATTCTAAATAAAGCAGGAATTAGAGTGGCATTCAAACCTACAAAACTCACTCAGGTAGGACAAGCTCTGTAGGCTAAAAGAACCAGTGGACCCAATTAGACAAAATAATATAATTTGCAAAATACCCTGCAATCAATGTGAGTTAAGTCAACTACATAGGTCAAACTAGTAGGTCGTGGGTAATCAGATTATCAGAACATAAGAATTTATTTGAGGAAAGAATGGTTGACCCCGAGAAGATAAGTAATTTAAAAAAAGCTCAGCAAGTGCACTGCATGCATTAACACACAACCACACAATAGGGTGGGTGGGACAGGGTCAGAATATTAAAAAGTAATAAAGGTAGTTGGAGGGGAGAGAGATTGATTACTGAATTCTGCCTGGTCCACAGAGTCTAAAACCAACACAACAAATGCAACAGAAATGACTCGATGCAAACACCGGGAATATGGAAGATATTATTACCATCAGTCAGTCAAATCAGAGGAGGATAATAAATAATCTTAAAATTTTATTTCAATTCAAGTACATCACAACATTCTAACAAAATACTTATTTTGACTACAAAAACACTCGTCTTATTTCCCATCTGATTGATCTGATTGATCAATAACACTCATATTATTATTTCTGAATGTACATTATCCCATATTGATTTTATTCAAATGTCTAATCATCAATTCCACTCTTGTATATAAATGAGGCAAGAAAGTTACGTGAGTGAGTGACTTGATATGATTATGAGTGGCAATAGTTTGTGATCGAGGCGTGGTCATCAGCTAATATTACTGTATAACACTCCACTGTGTGATTTATCAAAATAAAATTTTATCTATAATGGAGTTATGCTCTACCACAGTGGCCAAGTTTTATACTTATATCAACAAGGGAGATGGAATTCTTTTGAATAATTTCAAATGTCTAGTGAGATATTTTAGTAGAACTTACCAATGGAGATGAAGATGCAGAATTCAATGAAGGCTTTCTATCCCGCCTCTTTTCAGTTCTTTTGTTAGATTTATTCAACTGTTTCGATTTACTTTTTGTGGATTTTTTCAATTTAGATGAAGATTTATTTACTTGATTAGTTGCTTTATTCTTTAAACTACTTTAGAGATAATAATATCAGAAATGATAGACTTTATAGGACTAATAGTGCAAGCATTATTCGTTGGTATTGCATGCATAAAAGCTTCTTCTACACTACGTTGACGAATTTGTGGACACATTTCAGCCGGCAGTAGATTTGATAAACGTAGGCCTAAAATAGTAGTGGGCATAAAAACAGAGAGAAAACAGAGAGAGAGAGAGATTAGATTTAATTACAATGCAATTAGAACAATGTGGAAATTAGATTGCATCACAGGGTTGAAATAAACTGTACTGTACATCTTCTAAATCACGACTTTACATTAATCTGAGACTATTATGTTATTTTTTTTAATTCATGGAAAATTCCCTTTGGGACATATGGAAAATCGAAACAAGTGTTTCAGAGAAGAGATTCTTTCCAATAAATTTATCATCAAGCTGTATACGGTTATTTTTATTAGAAATTATATCTGGTGAGGGAATCGAATCATAGGTGTGAATACATAGAATAATAATAGTAGTATGAAATGCAGTTTAAAACTAAAATGTTTGTGATTATAATCATAGTTAAATGTCAAGTGGCAAAGTAAATTAATGTCATATATAAAATAATTCATAGGATGGATAGAACTTGGAAGAGGTGTGAAATGATAGGATTAGTAGCCAAGCAGAATATAAATGAAATACAAATGCGACTTATCAACTGTAACCGAGAAAATACTGTACATGATCTTGGAATTCAAAGTTTACTTAGCTTCTGATATCACTATTAGGAGGATCTCACAGTCTCTGAAAAGGATACTCCCTCCTGCATAGTTGAGAAGAGCGTTTTCCAGTCAACCATTAATAATAATCCAATAACCTGAAGGACAAAATCCCACAGTTAAACAATTCTATGTGTTTATCAATTCACCTGCTTGTATGGACCTAGGTATATCGGTTGTTCGACTTGAGGTTTTCCCAAAAGGATGCAAGAACACTATGCTGCACAGCTACGAAGAGGTGGAAGTTCACCTATCATGGAATACCTGGTCGACACTGATCACCCTATCTCTATATACTCCACTTTTAGTCATCCACAGGGTGGAAACTAATTTGCTCACATCAATACTTATCTGACCCATCTATATTGCTAAAGCTTTGGCCACAGAAATAGAAAAGCCAGATTTCTGTATACAGAAAAAGTTCGCTTAACCCTTTCAACCTTTATGGTCTTAATCCCTCTATGCTAAAGTATGGTAATCCCTAATTCTATTTTGGCTCCAAGTATTTTTTCGTTTTCTTTTTTTTTGCTCAATTTGTATACTCTTTCTTTATTACGTCAATTGTTACTATTACTGTTCTCACACTGAATTGTACCCGGTATTGTCATTCTAAATCAGCTTTGTTTTGCAACGATAAATTCTATGTTATCAAATTTCACACAATGTTAAGTAAAGTTTTCATTTTTATTCTGCTTGGCTACTAATCCTATAATTTCACACCCTTTCTAAGTTCTATACATTCTATGAATTGCTCTATATATGACATTAATTATTTTGTCAATTGACATTTAACTATGATTATAATCACAAACACTTTAATTGAATTTCATGCTGATACGTATCCATATATATATATATATATATATATATGGTGGTCTCTCTTTCTGTTGCTCTCTTAGTCTGTGACCATTTCACTTTGATGAACCTGTCTCCTTTAACAATATATATTCCCCTTATATTACATATAATATGTGTGTTTGTTGACATTTCTGCTATATTTTGCTATGTATATATGGATCGATACTCTATTATAATTAGCCAATCATGTTAAGACTGCCTATTGATTTGTTCACACACTTGTTCGGACATTCATATATATTTTTGCTCTCACACTCTTGTGTGATATTGCTTCTCCTTGTGTTTTGGAAAATAGAAGTATCATCGCAAACCTAGTGGTTTTCTGATTTCCGTCTTTCTTGAGTCAGGACTATTAAATTCTCGACGAGTAGATAATACATACTACTATTATTATTTCATGTATTCACACCTATGATTCAAATCCCTAACTGGATATAATTTCTTAAAAACGCCGCACATATACGATTGTGCAGCTTCATTCGTTGGAAAGAATCACTTCTCTGAATCACTTGTTTAAATTTACTATTACTTTGATCAACAACCAGTTAAACAGCCGTTCAATTTCAGTTGGAGACCGATGTTTAGGTACAATTATCCTGGGTATCATAGGTAAACCAATTCAAACTCTTCAGCAATGAGACCCACAGTACTCAGACTGGCGATGAAGACTAACAGTACACGTAACAAGAATGCCACCATTTCATCAAATGACCATAATCTAATAACTCCTACCAATTCGTGAAATAGCCTAATTATCATCCAGTATAATTAGTGCAAGTCAATTAAAACCAACAGGTGGCATTCCTCGGAGGTAGTCATTATAGAATTATTGTAATTTCAACTATTAAATTTCGTTACAAACCAACATTAGTTAGAGAGATCCCTGAAAATCAGAGAGAACTGGACTGCCGTTTCATCTTGTTTTAGGAATCTTTCTCAGCACATATCCACGACACCACCGAGGATAGAACCTTCAAGTTATGAGATCAAGCTCGTTGACTATTAAGCAACTAGAAGTAGAATTCAGTAACATGTGAGCTTTAATTCTACTAAGGGGTGATATAGCACTATCCTCACCAATGCTTCCGAGGAGCAACCATTTCACCTTGACATGATGAATAAATACAGAACTCATCGGATCATTGAGTTTGAACCCACGTAGCTGAATAGCCAACAAGCTTCGCTTTGTAACCTGAAGGTTCCAGGTACGACTCATGGTAGGGATGTGGGTGAAAACTGACCGATGAAGAGTCCCAAAATAGGACGAAACAATTATCCAGTTCTCTCCGATTCTAAGTGATCTCTCTGTCTGACATTAGTTCGTAACTACATCTAATAACTGAAAGAAGACATAATCTACAACTGGATTAATATTTGGTGGAGATTAATTGTATTCCAAATCATAAAAGTATTTTTTAAAACATAATGTAGCCACTCCTTTCACGAGTACAACTTTCAAGAATGGGTAATTATTCAGTGAGAGCTCATTACAAGTTGAACCTATGAACAACTAAACAGATCATGTGTCCTATAATTCCTGGTATCGGCCAAAAGCCGTTCAGGAACAACATAAAATAAACACAACTCATTCAATAATCAGTCTGGAAATTTTTTGGAATCAGCATAAAGGGGAAGATTAGGACTTGAAACGCTTAATTCAAGTGAGACCTACCGTACGTTCTAGAGACTTGTAATGAGCGTCATCTGAAGTGGTGACAACTAGTGGTGTCCGTCAAGGATTCCCACTAACCCCATTTCTACTCAATTTCATCATAGATGTACTAATGGATTTATCCCTAACTAACCTACACAGCTCAGGAATTGACTTGTTACCATCAGAGAATAATCTCGTTGACTTAGAATATGCAGATGATATATTCCTCCCTTCTAGGTGAAAACGCTGACAAAATACACCAGAGTCTTCTGAACACCTTGATCAGCAGCAATCTTCGAATGTTATGCATGTAATTCGTTGTGTCTATCAAATGTAAGATGGTCCTACACGACTGGATTGGACTACATCGACTTCCAGCTTAGGGATAGGAGGTGAAGTGGTGGCTGAAAGTGCTGAACACTTCACTCATTTGGTAAGCTACATCAGCTAGCGCCATCAGGTTGATCGCTGACGAAATCGCAGCACAGATACACAAGATGAGTTTCGCATATGCCTGCCAACTTAAGCCATCTCTGGTTTACTAGAAATGATATCCAGCTGGCTATCAACCAAAGGAAAGGGGGACTGCTCGGAAGTTCGCCCCATCCTCCTTTATGGCCGTCGGTGAAACATGGCCATTGAAAGTGGAGGACATGAAAAGGACAGCTAGCTGTCTTTGATCATAAGTGCCTGCGTTCTATCTCCCGTGTGAAGTGATATAATAGGGTGAGCAATGTTGAGGTTAGGCATCGGTTGAGTGCTAGGTAATTAGGGAGGGGAAATCAATCGACAAGGCTGTGAAACAGATACATCGATTGAGATGGTTAGAACATGTGTTACGCATCCATGCCTAGCCAGTGCCTTCCTCGACGGGAAATGTTAGCTGACATAGGGTCAGGTTGAAAGAGTGTCAAAGGTGGTGGTGGTTAAACGAAAAACCATGGCTGCACCAGTCAGTGAAATCCACAACACTTAGTTTAAGCCAGCCAGCCACGTAGGAAGGTGTAGACTTCCTTGCCAGTTGGGGTCCTCGGGACGGTAAAAACCAATGATAGTTGGGGAAAATTAGTGATATGTCTCAAAACAGTTCTCAGTATCTGACGCAGGTGCATCCACTCCTTTTGACTTATAATTTCCAATGAAACTATATTGTTCTTCGTTATTACTATTCCTTTTGTCTCATATCCCTGTCTACTATCTCTATTTTGCATTTATCTACTTTTTTCTCTTGATTTGTGTGCTACATGGTGTGGCGATTTGAATTTGCTGCACCTCTGTGCAAAGTTCTATGTTGAAAACAGACAGATAGACTGAGCGTCACCAAAAGCACCAAAAGAACAGGCTTTCGATGCTCGCCAACAGTCGCCTTCATTGGTGTCATAGAGAAGATCAGATAACAGGCAAAAAAAGATTAACACCAGGGAACTCTGACAACAAGCCAAACACGAATTTATCACTACTTGGGAAGTTGTATTAGCACCAACGGACTGATTGGCGATGAAATCTCAGCACGGATCCGAAAAGCTCGAGCTGTTTTCGCTGACTTACACCATCTCTGGCGTAGGTGTGACATCCGGCTGGCTATCAACCAAGGGACGTGTGTACTGCACAGCAGTTCGCTCCGTCCTTCTCTATGGCTCTGAAGCATGGCCAATACGCGTTGAAGACATGAAAAGGTTAACTGCTTTCGATCACAGATGTCTGCGATCTCTGTCTCACGTTAGGTGGTTTCACAAGATAAGTAATGTTGACGTTAGGCGTAGAGTGTTGGGCAAAGAGGGAAAATCAATCGACGAGGCTATAAAGTTACATAGACTAAGATGGCTAGGTCACGTGCTGCGCATGCCTAACCACCGCCTCCCCCGACGGGCATTGCTAGCTGATATAGGTTCAGGTTGGAAAAGAGCCAGTGGTGGCCAAACAAAAACATGGCATCAATCCATGAAATCCTTGACAGTTAAACTGAGTCAGGTAGGGAGATGCAGACTCCCGGGTTGGGGCCCTCGCGACTCTAGGAATCAATGGCTGGAGACAATAGGTGACATGGCTCAAAATCGTTGTCAATGACCAGCGCAGATGTATTCAGTCTCTGTAATCTTTCATATTCCTTTCTACGATTGCCCATTCTGTTTCACTCGTATACTTGTCAAACTCTATTGATTCTCTTCACTCATCTTCTTGTCTACCTCTGTGTGCTATTTGGAACGTGGCAACTCGAACTGGTGCACTTCGGTGCCAAGTTCTATGTTGAATCCAGACAGAGACAGACTAAACATATACGCAGAAGCGAATAGTGATGGTTCAGATGCACGCTGAGAATACCGTAGAGTGGCACTGAAAACTAGGCCATCCATTTGAGTGGAACTCGAATGGGGAAAGACAAAATGGACAATAGTAGGTGACTTTGAGGAGATGACAGCCTTTAGTTAATCGTGGATCAAGGTAAGGCACACTACAGAGATCAGAATGGAATGGAAATATTCCATTTAAGCCCTATGTTCCACTCGAAACTCGCGAAAAAAACATCTTCATGTATAGAAAATCTATTCTCAAAAGAAAACTGCAGCCTCAAAGTAACTGTTCACAACACACCGTTAGAAACTGTTGTTTTTTGGGAGGTGTTTGTTCCGATCTTATTGTGATAATCATATTTATATAGTGGCGAACGTGAACATACTTACCCATAAGACGTAAAGTAAGCGGTTTATTATTATTGCTCGGATTCGATTTATGCGCTATCATTTCTTCACGTAACAGTTCACGACCAAATGAATTAATAATCTCTGAATGATTTGTATAATCGGGTAGAAGTTGAGATTTTGTACGAACTTCAAAAGTGTCTAATTTCATTTTTAAAGTTATATGTTGACCCTTTAAAAATAAAAAGAAACAACAAGATTTCAATGAAATAAAACAAACAAATTTAGCATTCATGCAAACTAACAGGTTTAGTCACAAGTTGAAATCAGGCAGAGAACTAGTGGAAAGCCAACGGAGTAATGGACACCCTTTTCGTTGTAATTTGGGACTTCTCATCAGTAAGCGACCGCCGGGATTATAAACAAGCGGAATTCCGTATACAAGGTGAGCTTGTACACCCAATGGATGCGTACTGCTGAAGAATGCCAAACACGGAATTGGACAGCTGTCCAGTACTCGCTGGTTGGTTCTTAATGGTTTCCCTAACTGATGTCAGCTTGTCAACACACTTGTAAACAGTCACGTCTCTGTAAAACATAGATAGAGAATATTAAAAATAAGTGGATTTGATTAAATCAAGAACAACAATTTTTGCAGAATAAAGTGGTACCATCATCGGACGTTTCGTTGCCTTCTCATCATCTGCTTGCTTACAGGCCAAAGTCATTATTAAATATATCTACAGAAGCAATTTTAACATACTTGCACAGAGTTTATTTTTACACAAAAATCAATAAATAAATAAATGCACACAGTAATATATATATATATATATATATATATATATATATGTGTAATATTAAACACTATTCCGACCAATAATAATCATACACAATGGAAACTCTCGACATGAAAGAGAGATGAAACATATCGCTACAAGCTTGAGCTTTGGAAATTCAGTACCAGTGATGCTTACACCCTACCGACAAAGCGTCCTTCGGGAATTGAGCTCTGGACAGCGTGATGCGTGATCGGCAAGTATTCCGCCACTGAACCACCGGAGCACCTTAGTGACCAATCAGTATATGTAAACATATATGTTCCTTTGATTGCATGGAGGATTTCATTATGGGCTGATATCAGTCAGAGAACCACTGGAAAACCAACTGGGAGTACTGGATAGCTGTTTCGTCACTCTAGTTTGGGACTCCTCAGCAGTACGCACTCGCTGTGACCAGTAGGGTACAGACGGTTGACGATGAGACAATAACTCATCGAAGAAGATACTGCGAAACGGCAGCGCTATGTCGTGAATTGGCAGAAGTTAGAATTCATGGGCCGGTGGTTGGATCGGGTCCCAGTGGCTCAATGGTCTACGAGGTCGCTAGCCTTGTAACCAGAAGGTCCTGGGTTCGAACCATGGTGGTGGGTGCGTACTGATGAAGAGTCACAAATTAGGACGGAACAGCTGTCTAGTACTCCCAGGTTTTCCAGTGGTTCTCTAACCTATGTCAGCTCATGATGAAATCCTCCATACAATCAAACAAAATCCCTACAAAACCAAAATACTTGAAAATATATGTTTGTATTCTGTGTATGTATTCTGTGCGGCTCCAGAAAAGCAAAATTGATTCATGTTTTTTCAAATATTGTCTAAAAATTCTACCTTAACATGTTCTTCCTTTAAATCGCTTGACAACATTTGAGCAAGTTGTTCACAACGCTGAATTAATTCACTTTCATCACATGTATCTGAAAATGTTCTAAATTTGAGAACAAAAACAAAAACAACAACAAACAATAAAGAAAACAGGTAAACAACACTAATGCAGTCAGTAATAATAATTATTATTATAATAACATCATTCGTAAACAATTAGAATCACGTGAAGAATTCTACTCTGCCAGTATTATGCCTAAAAATGGCCAGAGCGCTTAGAAGTAAAACTATAAAAGGGAATGATGTTTCAAAGGGTTAAATATTTTTATTTTATTACTTTGAGTTCTGAGAGGAACATAAAGGTTTCAAGCTCGAAGTTTCCAGTTTCAGTAGGCAGAGGTGTGGCCAGCAGCACGGTTCACCTAGCCCACTTTACTGGTTTTACTACAAGCTGAGTGAGCTTTAGGAGTGCGTCAGTCGAAAGATCGAACCTTGAACAAGCATCCTAAGCGGCTGCACCACCGACAGAAAAGACTAAACATCATTACATGGAATTAGACGGCAGTGTGGCATAAAAAGAATACACAAATTTCAAAATAATACTAACTTCACGAATTGCTTCAAGATGAATCTTTTTTTGAGGCTGATATAAAAATTCGTGTTAAATTGCTAAAACAGAAATATAAGTTCGAAAAAGCATCAGTTTTCAGATTACAGTCCATTGACAGGACAAAAGCATTTGTAAATGGGAATTAGCGTTAACAAGAGGTTCAAAAACGGAATATAGCTTTTTAGCAATTTCATACCCATTATGGTTAACATTTTGTTTTGACAAGTCACACAGTGTTACACAGTACTATTAACTGATGACATTTCGAGCAAAAATTATTCCTGCTCATAATCATATCAAGGCACTCACTCACACAAATGTCTTGCTTCAATTATATACATGTGTGGAACTGACTAGATATTAAACTAGATTGTAATTGATCAATAACACTCATATTATTATTTCTGAATGTACATTATCCCATATGGTGGCCTGCTAGAAAATCATTGGGCTACCGAAATTACTTTCCTCCAAAATGCTTAATTTCATCTGGATTTATCGTTGTTTTAATCTTCCAGTTATATCAAATGACCTATACATAAACTTGCGCGATGATTTAACTTGCTCCCAAGTAAACGCTGTACAATTCTTCAACGAAATGAGAATATACTTTAGATTATTACTTTACATGTGAATCCTGTGTGAAGAAAAAAGTAGTTTGGAACTGAATACGCTGAAAATGTTTGTACCGTATACTCGCATACTGTCTTAAATAAAGCTTTACCATTATTTTTATTATTATATTGATTTCTATTCAAATGTCTAATCATCAATTCCACTCATGTATATAAATGAAGCAAGAAAGTTGTGTGAGTGAGTGACTTGATATGATTATGAGTGGCAATAGTTTGTGCTCGAAATGTGGCCATCAATTAATATTACTGTATAACACTCCACTGTGTGATTTATCAAAATAAAATCTTATCTATAATGGAGTTATGCTCTACCACACTGGCCAAGTTTTATACTTATATCAATAATTTCATTCTCAGTTGTTGTACACTCACGACTTTGTACATTTTCCTTTCGCTAGTTAGTTAGCCAAATTTCAAGCATTATTTATCAATCAAATCCTTACAAACGTATACTTGAATATCAGTATGCCCATTAGCGACTGGCCTATTCAGGTAAGTAGTTACCTGGGTTCTAGCGAGAAGTTGTAACCAGTAGGTTACCGCAGGTCAGCTGTGAAGAAAAATACTCGCCATCGATAACATTCGCCAGTCGTTGCGCTATGTCGTGAATTGGCGGAAGTTGGAATTCATCGACTGGCCATTAGGTCGGATCCCAGGGGCTTAGCTTGCTTAACTTGTAAGCGGAAGGTTCTGGGTTCAGACCATGGCATTGGGTGCGTACAGCTCAAGAATCCCAAAGTATGCAGATGAAGCAGCTGTCCAGTACTCCCTGTAAGTTTTCCAATGGTTCTCTAACCTACGTCAGCTCAAGGTGGAATTCTGTGAGCAATCAATCAGTCAGTCAATTTTTTACAAACCAATAATTGAATATTATTGATCACCTGGATATAGTGACAAAGACAAAATTCTCAAGTATTGGATTTGTAGGGATTTTGTTTGATTAGATGGAGGATTTCATCATGAGCTGATATCAGTTGGAGAACCACTGGAAAACCTGAGAGTACTGGAGAGCTGATTCATCCAATTTTGGGACTTTTCATCAGTACGCACCCACTGCCAGGTTTCGAGCCCAGGACCTTCAAGTCACAAGGCGAGCTAGCCCGTAGACCATTGAGCAACTGGGACCCAATCCAATGGTCCCTGAATTCTTACTTCTGCCGATTCACGACATAGCACGACCATTTCCCAATGTCTTCTTCGATGAGTTACTGCCTCATCTTCAGACCTCTGTCACCCTGACCCACGCCACCTATTTTGTGATTACATGCAAATATATGCAGTGCAATGGCTGATCCCTGTTTTTTCTAGGTTACTTAAGTTAGCAGGGTTAATTATTCTAGGTCTAGGTAGATTTTTGTGCTCCATTACCCGATTCGACGCTGATCTATTAGTTTGACCTATGATGCAATTGACTTCACAAACAGTCATGACATGGTATTCAGTGAATTATATCATTTTTCTTAATTGAATCTGTTGGATCCTTAAGTTGATATAATTAATCTCAGAGATAGTAGCCTGATTTAAATAACACCATAAACTAGGAGAAAAATTAAACGTTCTAAGAGCTTTACTTTCCTAAATGTTTATCAGTATGTCTGAGACTATTGAAGCGCCATATTGCCACCCTATTTGTTTGTTTGTCTGCTGTACTTTATTTTGGAATCGGAATACAGTAGAGCTTAAGCATAACTGTACACCTAGTAATATTTCATCCAACAATCCCATTTTTATGAGTTCAGGATCAATGTTTAGTTCATTTCTGTCTCCAGAGCTGCACTAATAGGAATATTAGTGGCCAAAGTGGTTATATAGAAACTGAGCAACAAAACTGATTTAAGAACACCCAGGTAAACAAGTTATTCAAATATTTAGCATCAATAGTATGCCACAGTAGAGACTGTTCAAATTCTGAACTGACTAATTCTAACATAATGAAACGGAAACTAAAGCAAATTCAACTAGAAAAAGTCTGTCTGCCTGCTTTCAACATAGAACTTTGCACCGATGTGTGAAGCAGTTCAAGTCACCACACTCCCTCCTTGTAGCATACAAAGCAAGAGAAGAAAGCATGAAGAAACGCAAACCAGAGAGAGTAAACAGGGATATGAGACAAAAGGAATAGTAATAACGAAGAAAATATAGTTTCATTGGATATTATAAGTCAAAAGGAGTGGATGCATCTGCGCCAGCCATGGAGAAGGATTTTGAGCCATATAACCATCAATTGTCTCCAACCATCATTGGTTTTTACCGTCCCAAGGACCCCAACTGGCAAGGAAGTCTACACCTTCCTACGTGGCTGGCTGGCTTAAGATAAGTGTTGTGGATTTCATTGACTGGTGTAGCCATGTTTTGGTTTGACCACCACTAGCTGTCTCTTTCCCAACCTGACCAATTCTACGTCAGCTAACATTGACCTTTGAGGAAGGCGATAGCTATGTATGTAACAACAGAAGACAAAGGCCGGCAACAGATCGTTTTATTACGGAAATCAACACGTATTTACGTATATTTCCTGTACATTATTATAGCTTATGCAAGTAGACAAACGCAGTCTTCTGATTGGTTGTTTCGGGTAACATCGAAATGTGGAGTCATCTATCTGCGAATCATATTTGCCCACGTTAAGTTCGCTGTGATTGGTTGCTGAATCAGCCTTGTTCATCTTTTCTCACGGCCAATACTAGTGACCCAGACATTGACGTAGAATAATGTCTACCAATTGGCTAGCAGCCTGCTCTCACCACATGTATACTTAACACATGTCCTTACCATCTCAATCGATGTAACTTTACAGCCTCGTCTATTGATTTCCCCTCATTACCTAGCACTCGACGTCTAATCTCAATATTCCTCAGCCTATTATACCACTTCACACAAGTGAAAGAACGTAGGTACCTTAGATAAAAGACAGCTAGCCGGCCTTTTCATGCCTTCCACATTCAATGGCCAGGTCTCACAGCCATAAAGGAGAACGGAGCGGACTTCTGAGGAATACACTCGCCCTTCGGTCAACAGCCTACTAGATATTACGTCTACTAAGCCAGAGACGGTGTAAACTGGCATATGCCCTCTGTATCTGTGCTGAGATTTCGTCAGTGACCAACCCGTTGAGGCTGATGACAACTAGAAAAAGATGAAAAACTGATTAGTTTTGAAATGAGTCAATTTTACAGACATTTAACTAAACCTATCTTTGTCGATTCTGGATGAGATGAATTAAAGTGTAATAAGTATTTATTAGACGAATACATATATACATAAATCAAATCATGAAGCCGTGTGACTAACTGATATGATTATGCGTGGCAATAATTTATGCTTGAAACCCTGTCATCCAGTCATGAATACTGCACCATCACTATGTGATATTTGAAATAAAATTATCTAACAGGGTAAATACTGTTATTCAATGTGAAGTAAAGCAGTTGATGAATGTATGGTGGAGCGCAGTGGCGATTCGACAGGATGAATGACCTGAACTCTCCGTAGGTGTACAGAACAGGATTTATTCAGTCTTTTGTTTTACCGTATTTCCTTAATCTCTTTCCTAATCGTTCGCTTGTATTTTTTGGTAGTCAATTCGCTAATTATAACTTTTACGTGTTCCTTTTGTAAAGCGTTTTAATTTTCTCACAGTCATTAAATTTGTCAGGTGGGCCACTTAAACTATTTTGTTTCTCATTCAATGGCAATGCTTATATAATCATCAAATTTCAAATCCTTACTTCCATTGTGTCGTTAAATATTACGTAATATGTTAAATATATCAACTTCAAAGTAGTTGCATCAACTACTTCATACACAAACACACACTCTCTATTAACCAATAATAGACTTCTATACGTTTCCGGCAAATACAGATAGTAATAGTTTAAGCCACATAGGAAGGTGTAGATCTCCTGGATGACTGGGGTCCTCGGGACAGTAAACACCGATGGTTGAAGACAATTGTTGATATGGCTGAAAATCGCTCTCAATGGCCAGCGTAGATGCATCCACTCCTTGCGACTTATAATTAGTATTATTTCCTTTAATTGCTAAATGAGCATAGGGCTTCAGCTGCGCGTCTCCATTACATTCGTTTATCTGCCAACTTTTTCATCCCGCTCCAAGTCTGCCCACATGCTTTCATCTCTTCTTCACATCACCTCCTCCAAGTCAACCTCACACTGATGACCAACTCGGCGCCTCCTTTTCGGGTCCCACTTGAGCAATGGCTTGTTTAGTGATGTCATTTTCTGGTTTCCTCAGAGTATGGCCACTCCATCTCTATTTCTTCCTGCTTATTTGTTGCACAATCGGTTCCTAGTTGGTTCGCTCCCACAGATCCCACCATGTTGCTGATCTTTTCTGGCCGGCCATCTCATCTTGAGTGGTATTGAGCGAAGACATCTGTTAATGAAGGTCCGAAGTTTGTTTGAGATGCTCTTCATGACGCGCTGGCCAAGTCTCTGATCCGAATAGTGAGTAGCACTGACTTCACATTGGAGTTGAAAATCCGGATCTTATTTTCATTTCCATGATGAGTGCTGTTGACCTCCAAACACACTTGAGAGTAATGAAAGCTTGTCTTGCTTTTCCGATTCTTGCTTTGATATCCTCGTCAGTTCCGTCCGCCTGTAGTTGAAACGATACTTCCCAGGTAGGTGAAGGAGGTTGTTTCTTTCAGGTTCCTCCCATTTATTCTGGCTGATTGTTGTGTGTTGTTGTTGCTGTCAGTTTTGGTGTTGGCCAGGAATCCTCATCACCTCTGTTTTCTCTATGCTCATGTAACTTATAATACCCAATAAAACTATTTTGTTTTTCGATATTACTATTCCTTTTGTCTCTTATCCCTCTCTCTATTTTGCATTTGTTTTTTCTTTCTTCTCTTGCTTTGTGTGCTACAAGGAGGGAGTGTGGCGACTCGAACTGTTGCACACCGGTGCAAAGTTCTGCATTGAAACCAGTAAGTCAGTCAGTCAGTCAATTTTCATTTCATGATGACATGAATATTTACAAATGTGAAAAGAGATGAAGACTAATCATCTCACGAAGGGCGTAGAAACCAAAATGACACAAACTGACAAATATGTTTCCTTAATATATAAAACATCTACTAAGGTATTTGGTGGATGTTGATGACTAGCACAGTGCAATCTATAATGCACGCGACATTTCGTTCTAATTGGGACTGGTCAGCTAGTGAATGAATTCGCATCCCCGATGAGTGGCAATGTCCTCACTGAAAATTAAACCTAGTACACAATGTTTCAAATGTCAAATCATTATCCTCTAGGCCACTTGAGCGACACAACTCACGTTTTGTGTAACGGGTATCAGTTATTAGTAGTAACTTTTAAGTCACTTTTGACTTTCACTAGTGACTGATTAGATCAAAATTTTCAACGTGGATTCCTCTGCTAGTTACCAACCACCAAATTATTTCAAGTTAATCTTCAGATATCGTCGTAGCATCCGGTCTAGGAGCCGATCGGAAAATCAAAACTGAATCACGGAGCAAGTAACTTCTTTTACAAATTAAAGTGTGATCTGGGAGTGCATAGAAGCGGAATTAAATGATGTTTTGCAACTGAAGACGATTGAAAACTAAGACAAGGCAAAAAAAACACAGGGATCTAACGATTTTCTCTGATGTTCATGACCCTCACTTCTTGATGCATATGACGGGAGTTTCTGTAGTTCAATAAAGCCACAAGCACACTGTCTTGTGAACGATTCTGAATGATAAGTCCATTGAAATGTTGTGTGAGACTAGCACTGACGAATTGCTTGCTTTTAACACTTCTGATGGACACAGTGCCACCTGTTCGCAGCCTCTCTGTATGCTGTTGCCTATCTTGTTTTGGAACGTGACACATAGGATAACCTATGTGCCCCTAAACCCACATGAACAGGTGAACTGATATGCAAGCACTGTTATATATTCCTCAGTAATATTATCAGTAACATGACCGTTTCTTATGAATCATCTTAATTACCAGAATATTAGACTCCTACTGTTATACATCCCCTTATTTCGCCTAAACTTAAGATTTAAACAATTGAACCAAGGCAGAATATCTATTATAATGCGACTGTTTTTATCAACTTGGACTAGTCGATTTAGACGAGCTAATTATTGAATATTAGTCACAGCATTATCATTAGTACCGGTCATATCCACCCAAGTCAATTGCAGCGACGTTACTGAATAGCAGCTTCCATTATTGTGTATATCATCTACCCGTAACGCTTATCAACACTATAGTTTGGTTTGTAAGGATTAGTTATGTTTTTGCGAGTTGATTATGGATTGATATCAGTTAGAGAATCATTGAAAACGAGGGAGTACTCGACAGCCAGATGTTTCATCCTAGTTTGGGGATCATTGCAAGTACGCACCCACTGCCAGGGTTCGAACACAGGACCTTCCGGTTACAAGTTAAGCTCGTATACTATTCAGCCCTGGGACCCAATTCAACGGCCAGCTCATAAATTCTAACTTCTACCAATTCTTGATTTAGCGCGACCCCAACCATTGTCGTTGGTGGGACATCCATCCACACACGTGACATCTAATTGGTCCTCACTGGCCACGACTTCTCACTAGAACTCCAGGAAACTCCAGTGAGGTCCAATTAGATGTCACGTGTGTGGATGGATGTCCCACCAACGACAATGGTTGGGGTCGCGCTAAATCACGAATTGGTAGAAGTTAGAATTCATGAGCCATTGAATCGCGTCCCAGCGGCTGAATGGTAACGAGCTCGCTAGCCTTGTAACCGGAAGGTCTTGCGTTGGAACCACAGTGGTGTGGGTGAGTACTGACGATGATTCCCAAACTAGGATTAAACAGCAGCTGTCCAGTATTCCCTGGTTTTCAGTAGTTCTCTAACTGGTATCAATCTGTGATCAACTCGTAAAAACACAGATATTTGAAGTAAATCACAGCAATCTCGGATTTCCAGGAATTTTGTTGACCTTTATGACGGACTGTGACCTGCTGAAGAAAAAATATCCAAGTAGTTACTTCGTTAAGTGACCGCCCTGGATTTCTTCTCTTAGGGTGCCATGTATGCACACTGTTGAAAAGTCCCTAGATGAGATGGAAGAGTCGTTCAGAATTTTCTGCTTTTATTTGATTTCTTTGTCTGAGATCTGTTCGTGACTTAATTTACTCTACACTAAATAAAAGGATCTAATTCGCGGAAAGTAAACTATTACAGCAAAAGTCAAGGCCTACCAAAAGTTGACCTTGAGGTACCAACTAGATTTACAAGACGCTTCAGAAGGGGTATTCCAAATAGAAGTACTGCCTGTCTTTATGGATTTTGTGAATGAGTTTCATGAAGACTACTAATATTTTATCCCTACGTCAATAAGGGATTAACTGGAGTCAAGAAGATGCTCCTGTGCACGTGGGGATACTATGACAACAAGCCAGTACAACCTTGTGGGAGATAAATAATACTACCGATATATATGCTATACGAGGTGCAGTATTTTACTCATTCCCTAGGTACTTTTTTTCTCCGAATCTAAGTTGTCTTTGTCAAACCTCCTACGGTTATATTTTGCTGGAAGAAGTACCAGAGTATTCATTTTAATTATTCAGCGTTTGATAATGCCGAGAACGATCGTACATACTGACAAAATAGAGAGGATATAACCAATTGGCATATTTAGGTTATATTCACCATCGTGTTAACCATTCCTCCGATCGTGTGAATCAGATCACAAGGTATCTATAGTAAGTTAACCGAAGGATTTTGGGGAGGTTGAAGAAAGAATCAGGAATGTAAATGAATTCCAAAGGAGAGCCACCTTAATAAATACATGTATCAGAAATGGTACAGTTTCGCGAACTGGAAAGCATTCCTAAAAAACATCGGAGACCATTATCCACTTTAATAGCATATCTGCAAATATTTTTAATACGTTTTTTAACGATTACGTGACTTTTTTGCATATATCAATGCTAACTGTTAGTTGACGGTCAGTGTGATTTTGGCTATGACAGTTTAACCTCGCCTTAATTCTTTATGAGAAGTAAACAAGTTGACGCCCAGTCCTCAGCAGGTGGTTGTCATAAGGAGCCATAACCCCTTAGGCTTTAACTTGAAATCTGATCCACAAGGAAGTGGCACAACGTCTGCGGCTGCGTCCTCAAGGTTAACGACAATTGAAGCAGGTTCATAGACCATTCAATCCTTTCTCATTTAAAGTCCATGTACACCATGTGTTTAGAATAAGGGTCTCCTAGTTCCCCTAGGTAAACCTGTATGCTCAACAGTGGGGTTGTGAACACCAGAAGTCTTTAATCGCCCTTTCAATTTTGTGAGGAACACCTCCACTCTGTGAAGGTAGTGAAATAGAACATACCTAGCAGAGGCATTTGGGTAGAGAAACGTCGAAGTCTACTCACCCTCAGCCTTACCAGTTCGTTTATCGGGGTTTGGCGGGGGAGAAGACAGACTTTTAATTTTCTGACAAGTACACACTTAAACACAAAACAACTAACTAACCTTTCTACACTCATACTCTTTCTATTCAGCTCTATTTGACTTTGTGTGCCGGTGCTGCCTTCAACAATCCCACTGGACTTGGCTAATTTTTCATCAGAATTATTTTTAAAATTTAATAACCACTGATCATCAGAATGGCCCAGTGCAATACGCATATAGTAGGCCATTGTGATTCGTGTACTGACATGCCAAAGTAGACCACGTTTATCAATCAGATCAGAGCAGGTTTTCACTCCAAATGCATCTAAACGACGTTCTGTTACATGGCCAATTCCCGGTACCTTAACAACGACATTGAAACATGGAGTTTAAAAAATAACTTGAAAAGAATTAAAGATGAAAGATTGATTATACGGTAAATAGATGAGAGTATACAATTACATAGTTTCTTGTATTTAGTACACGCTTGAGGTTAACATCGTCCTTTAACAGACTATGTTTTAGAATGGGGATACCACGAATACTTCACAAGATAACGTCTCTGACTGCATCATCACTGGGTGACACGGGTTCGAATCTCAGAACGGATATGAAAAATGCCAACAAGTTCCAAAGTTTCCTACCGACAGCCTCCAACCATATAATAACACCAGTTCTGAATGCATTGTGATGGAAAGTCACCTACAATGGTGGCCATATTGAAAACTTGACTGGTAGAATTCAGTCTACACCAATACCAAGGAATAGATGCATGATATTACTTACCAACTAATGTCTAATTAAAATATTTTCTAATGCTCTAATTATTAACAGTAGATGGTGCAGCGGTAGAGTGCTCCGTGCTGAGATTTCGTCAACTACCAACCCATTGGCCTTAGCTAATGCAACTTCCCAAATAAGTGAAGTGGTCAACACGCTTCCCCAACCACTTCACTCCCTATCTCTAAGCTAGGAGTCAATGTAGTCCAGTCCAGTCATGTAGCATCATCTTACATTTCACAGAGGGAGCGAATCGCATGTCAAACATTCGAAGATTGCAACTCAAGGTGTTCAGAAGACTCTGCATTTTGTCAGCATCTTCACCCAGGAGAGAGGACTATATCATCTGCATATTCTAAGTCAATGAGATTATTCTGTGACGGTAACAAGTCAATCCCTAAGTCTCTGAAGTGAACTAGGGTTAATTCCATTGGTACATCTATGATGAAATTGAAAAGAAACGGGGTTAGTGGGCATCCCTGTCAGACACCACTAGTTGTCACCAGCTCAGATGACAACTCATTGTAAGCTCTCACCTGGCTGACTGCATGAGTTCGAGTAGAGTGCCTTGATCAGTGAAATGTGTTTTCTCGGTATCTCCTTCACAGCCAAATATCGCCAGAGTATCTCTTAGTCGACAGAATCGAATACCGCTTTCAGGTCAAGAAATATAACGATTGTTGGACTCTGGTAAGTATGCCTATGTTCCGTTCCAGAATCTATCGAAGGGTAAAGAAATAATCAGTACATCCTGTTCCTGGTATAAAACCTGCCTGGTTCTCTCGTGTTTGAACCTCCCGTGGACCGCTTATTATTGAGCCTAGGACTTTAGATACTATATTAGTCAAGCTAATCCCCCTGTGATTATCACAGGAAAACATGTCTACCTTCTTGTATATCGGGATAATTCATGACTTATGCCAGCCCAACGGGACTTCCTCTGATCTTCAGCTGACCCACTCTTAAACATCATTTAGTCAGTAGTAATCCGAGTAAAGAGGGAAAGTTCAGCGTGAAGTTAGAAACCATACACCCCCTCCCCGAAAAAATAAAACCACTGCTACTGTAGCCTGAAGCCCTATATTCCACTTGGAACAGAAAGGAATAAATAAAAAATAATGAATCAATAGAATGAGGATCTCAATGATTTATACAATCAACTAAGGTGCTAAAGATAAGGAATCAGTTAGCAGAAAACTTTTGATTTGACAGAAGCCAGAAGTAAAGAGCTACATTGGTAGTTGGAACCATCGATATTCAATTTCGATCAGTCAGCAGAAAACTGAAAACCTACTCCATCGTTTAATACTTGAGCGACTAGACAGAATAATCAATTAAAGTGCAAAAAATCCAACTTGACTTTCATTCTCAATACTGCTCATGAAGAAAAGCTTTAATAAGATACCTAATGAGTCACCATCCTAATACGTAACAAGGTTAACTCAGATGACAGATGATTCAAAATGGCCATATTATTGTAAGGACAGAAGACATAACCAGGTAACAGATCATTTGTTGAGAAAATCAACAGATATTTAAAGATCTTTATGTACATTATTATTCGTTATTGTAAGCAGAGAAGTGACGTCTTCTGATAGGTTGTTTCCTTACTCAAGGTTATTCTGTACTGCTTGTGACCGTTTCCTATTAAGTTATCTGCGAATCTTATCTGCCCACGTTAAGTCTGCTGTGGTTGGTTGAGCTCCTCAAGGTTAGGCTTTGTTTTTGTTTCTTCTCATGACCCCGATTCGCGAAGTAAACACTGACGTAAATTGTTGTCTACAATTTTAGCTTGCAGACAGCTCTCAACACATTATGACCAGTTTTTATGCCTGACTGACTGACTGACTGGTTTCAATATAGATCTTTGCACCGAGGTGCAGCAGATCGAGTTGGTAGGTTCCATAAGGCACACAAAGAAAGACACAAGAGAGGATAAAAGCGGTTCAAAAGAATGATGATAGACAGATGTGTGGGGGGAAAAGAATGGTAACATGCAAGAACAATGACGTTTAATCATGTCATGAAAATCTTAGAGGTTGTCGGTACTTAGTAATTGATTAATTATTATTATTCACTATCCACATGCATCCCATTTCATCCTGTTTTCCACAGGCCTCTCCATCTGATCTCACGACTGTTATCATTTCCTCCTCTTCAGACTATCTCCTACATATCACCCTCAGATCAACGCCCAATTCATCGTGTTTTACTCATGTTCCACTAGGGCGATTGCGTGACGAGCAATGTCAGTCAGAGGTCTGCTCAGTGTTTGTCCGGTCTACCTCCATTTCCTTTAGAATATTTGTTGAGCAATAGTTTCTCTGTTGGTTCGTTGCACTGCAAAGTTTTTTGTTGCTGATTCCTTCTTGTCAGCCATCTGACCTTCACTATGGAGCAAAGTCAGCTGCCGATGAAAGTCAATAGTTGCCTATTTGAAATGGTTTTGGTGACGTGTACATCAAATCTATGAAACATACAGAAGCATTGACAGACTTGACATCAGTGTTGAAAATTATAATCTTGTTACTTATACTGGGTGCAGCAGATTTCAACAATGATTTCGGATCAATGAACGTCACCCTTGCCTTTCTGATCCAGGCTGACTTTGACGTCTTCAACCATGACTCCTGTAGTTGAAACAATGCCATCTAGACAAATGGAAGATGTCATTTCCTTCAAATTTCTCTTACTGACAGAGATTGGTCGGTAAGCATATTCATTACTTCTGTCTTCTCCTCTATAATGCACTTGAAGTCCTGTCTTCACTGCCTGCCTACCTCTCCCCCCAGTTTGTTGTTTACTGTCTGTAGATCTTGGAGTTTACTTGACAATAAACATAAATCACCAGCGAAATCCAAATCTCCTAGTTTTCTTGTCGGTCCGACATATTCCTCCTATCTTCTCATTTCACATGCTACCACTGCAATCAGGAATATCATCGACTGCACATGTTATCCTGGTTACTTCTGCCTTCCTGTATTATTAGAAAACATAAACATGCTAATAGCTACCCATCTGTACCGAATACTTGATTGTTCAAACCATATCAACAAAGTGAATCGTCCCCTTAGGCAATAATTTCATTTAACAAATAAAATTGGTGAAAATGATTATAATTCTTTTTGTAAAATGTTTACTTGAAATAGCAACTCCAAGCTGCTAACAGACGCGGTAATGTATGACGTCTACAGCAATGTATACAACGACTAATCAATCTCTAAGCTCACAGCTTAAGCGAGAGCACACCATAGACGAGACGGAAACTAACAGTATACTTCAAACAATGACGCAGATTCCAAAAATTCACCAAGTATGTGTGTGTCACTTAGTCTGCAATCATCATCAGTAAAATAGTGAGAATTATTTCATGTAGGCTAATTCTAATTGGTTAATTTTCAGACTGGATATTGATCACTTATGTAGGCCAATTCTGATTGGTTTATTTCCAGGCTCGACATATCAGTGACATAATATAAGAATGAAATAAGACTCTATCGGACATACCTTTCTAACGGGCATACTTTGCATAAATGCATCTACAGCCTCCAATGTATTAGCAATTTCATATTGCCCGCATGGCTTTATCCAATCAGATGCGATTTTAGCGATCAACGTATTTGGACCAATACCTAAGTATAATATAATTACAGTAATGACTAAATTAATGTAGTATTCACATTATTTTGCTATTTTCAAATTTAAAACATGAAATTATTAAATTTTCTGAAGTAAATGCGATTAGTAACATGTAACAAACCAGATATGAGGATAAGCATTGATAATTTTTGTGGTGGTGGTGCCAATAGCGAAGTGTAAGAAATTAAAAGTCATGTATTCTGACTAAGTGATGGAATGCTCCCCTCGTAGCATGAATATCCAGAAAGTACATAGTACTCATGCAGCCAACCGAGAGCCTACGGAGATGTGCCGTCCAAAGTCACGACAACCAGTGGTAGTCGTCAGGGATGCCCACCTGTCCCTAATTATGTTTAATTTAATCATATATTTAATAAGCGAATAACCCCAAATTGATTTCAGCAAATTAGGGATTGGCTTGTTGCCACGGAATGGCCTTATTAACTTAGTAAGTGCAGACGGTATGGTCTTCCAAACACTTTGGGCAGGAATCTTCGAATGTTTGGCATTCGACTTGCCCTATCAAATGTAAGATGGTGCTACAGGACTGCTCTGCACAGACTCATAGCTTAAAGATAAGGAGTCGGTGGAGCGTGTTGACCACTCCCTTATTCGGGAAGTTGGATCAGCCCCCAACAGACTGGCTGCTGGCGAAATCTCAGCTCAGATAAAAAACTCTCATATGGCATTTATCAACTTAAGCCATTTCTGATATTCAATCAAAGGATGTATGTACTGCTCAAAAGTTGGCTCTGTCCTCCTTTAAGGCCCTGAGAAATGACCATTGAAAGCAGAAGACATGAAAAGACTAGCTGTCTTTCAATATAGGAGTCTGCGTTGTACCTCGTGTGTTAGGTGGTGTAATAAGGTGAGAGTAGTATCGAGGTCAGGCGTAGTGTTAGGGAAGGAGAGGAAGTCAATGTTACCTGAAATATGACCAGGTTTGAAAAGAGCTAGTGGCGGTCAAATCAAAGCTTGGAATCAGTTCATAAAATTTGTGACAGTTAGTTTGAGCCAATCATACATGGAGGCGTAGACTGTCTGGTCGAGGTCCTCGGTATTCTAAAAACCAATGAATGAAGACTATTGGTGATCTGGTCAAAATCGTTTTAATATCTGGAGCAGATGCATTCACTCTCTGTGATCTGCCATACCCAGAAGAAAGCCCTTAGTTTACCCATGTTACTATAGTTTCTCCCTTAATTTTCAGTCAACAATTAAGCCTTAGTTGTCTAAACTGACTGTTTTTGAACATAGAAATTTGTATAAAAGTGTAGCAGTTCAATTTACCACACCAAATACAGCACATAAAGATAGAGAACTATACTAAGCACAAATATTCTGGAGAAAGAACAGTAACAATAAAAGGCATAAAGGTTTAATAGGCATGGGAGATCAAAAAAAGAGTGAATGAATCTGAGCCAATGAGAACGACTTTAAGCCACATCACTCATAATCTTCAGTTGTATGCTGGGCACGTTCAGCATGTCTGTAGGCTAGTTAAATTGCTCTTCAAATTGTGTTTTTTTTCTCAACGTTATAGTCTTCTCTCCTGACAGTTAATTAGGCGCTGTTTCCTCAAACAGATTACCTCTCATATCATAAGCGTAAAAAACTAACTGCCTAGTGTTACTACCAACGATACCTTTTCCATCGTATACGCTTTTGTATTAGGTTGACAGTCACATACATATACTGTGTGACTGCTTATGATACTATACAATTCCCGAGATTGAAGTAAGCGTAGCGGGATTCGAACCCAAGACATCGCAGTTGAAAGTCGAGTGTTTAAGCTAAAGTACTACAAGAGGACCATAATAGTAAGAACGATTAACGATTGTCTCTTAGTATTAAATGGTAATAAATTTCGAAAAATACCCATTTATTCATCAGGGAAAAAACAGCCGTTTTTGTTCAGCGAAGAAATTTCTTTTCAACGACTTCATTTTCATGCCAACTTTACAATCGTATTTATATTACAGAATAAGGTTATTAAGGGGCACTCAATAATTGCTCAGTCAATATACGTATATAAGTGATAAGAATAACGATAATTAAAATGTTTAAAAAGGGGTAGAGTTGAAGTAAATAAATTACAAAATTATTAAAGATTGTTTTATAAATGAATCGATATCAAAAATATTTTTACTGAACGTAACATCAAGAAAGAATCCGCCCCTAGACAGATCACAGTACCAAAGAAAAAACTGTTTATGAGTCTTACATTCAAAGGTGACACCATTCTGAATTGATTAAAAATCGTTTATTTAAATGTGTTAAACGCACTTTTCATGCAGCTGATTTGCAACTAGTTTTTACCAGACGAAATATGATTAGACAATGCACTCAAGGATAAATTACCGCTTATATTCACATCTATGTGCATCTACTCTTTTACCTGCTCCTGTGGAGCTGATTATATTGGACGTTGTAAGCGTACTCTCCGAAAACGTGTAGCTGAACACTATCCGGTTTGGTTAATGAAAGGCGAATGTAGAACTGCAAAGTCGTCTATTTGTGATCACGTGTTAGAGTCTGGTCATTCAGCCCCATGTGATTCATCCTCAAGGTTATTTACATGGCAAAATCGAATCGCTTCAAAAGTTTACGTTTTCTTCACTTATGCATAGCTAGCCGAAGCTTTAGCTATACATGAACAGAAATCTAAATTATGTGTTCAAAAGCGTTTTGTCAAACCTCTTTCTTTACATTGGTCATAGTAATGTTCTTTTTAGTCTGTATTTTATTTTATTTTACCACTTGAATTCATTCCACTTCACTTCACATCTTTATTCTTATCATAATCGTACTCCTAATTTTTTTTTTAATTTTTAGACAACGCTTGACATTTTTCTTTTAAAAATATTTTTGATATCAATTCACTTATAAAACAATCTTTAATAATTTTGTAATTTATCCACTTCAACTCTACCCTTTAAAACATTTTAATTATCAGTAATAAATTTGTCATAAAACCAACCAGATCCCTACGAATTTACTTAAAGTTAACAAATAAATCATCTGATTGACTTCAGCGATGCTTGTTTTTGATCCATACTGAAGACCACATAATCACCTAGATAGGATTATGCAACAACGAACTCTAGGAACAAACAACTAAAAAAAAGCCTGTCGCCCAACCAGTAAATTTGTAAAAGATAATAAAGATAGACTGGATACACGCTGGGGAGACGGCTAACTGAAGTAACGCACCAGGTTGCAGAGTGGAAACCAAAAGGAAAACGATAAATTGGCCGTTGAACTGACAGTAACATGAAGGAGTAGATGAGAACTTATGAACAATCATGGAGCCAGGTAAAGAAGTGCTGCTGAAGACTTATCTTCGAGTCGCAACCCAAAGGAATAATAACAATAATAATAGTAATATCAAATATAATATAATATACACTCTAAATGAGTTCAGAACATTAACTAAATCCTGAAATAGGAATAAACTCACCAGCACTACATGTAAGACGTGTAGCACAAAAGACACGAAATCGCATTTCTCGAACTGCTTCCCATGCTGACACGCCGAATACTCGACGACCAGATTTACAAAGCAAACCACATTCATCACAGACAGCTAATTCAGGATCACAATATTTTGTTTTTGAATTGCTAAGAGATGATTCATCCAGAGTTTTAACTTCTTGGCAGGTATTGGAATTACTTTGTGAGTTATCATCATCACCTGTGGATGGTTTAAGTTGAACATAGGCAGAAGTATTGTTTAGTGTTTTAGAGTCTGTATTCTTAGAACGTGATTGGCAGCTACAATACAGAGAATAATACACATAGTATCAAATTAATTTTTTGATTAATGTCATGCCTAGGTGAACAGTAAAAGAGTTAAACTACGTAATATTCAATGGAAAATAAGAAGAAGTGTATTAAAAAGTCAGCTGATACTGTACTCTATTCTTTGAGCAAGAGAAATATAGTTCGCTTGCATACGAAACACATAATTAAATGACAAAACAATTAGTGCTCATAAAGATATAATAAAGAGATACTAATATTTGCGAAACTATAGCTTTCTTCTCTGTGGAAATAGTCTCCATCAAGAATGAAAATGAGCTAGTAAACTGCTGAAAGACACAAACCAAGGAGTAATAATAGCTCCTGTTTCATCCTAGTCGGGACTCTTCAGGAGTACGCACCTGCCAAAGTTGGAAGCCAGGACCATTCGTTTTCAAAGCAAGCTCGTACAGCATTCAACCACTGGGACAAAACCTAATAAATTAATAAACAACATATTTGAAGACGTCAAATTCACAAGAGAAGAAGAATTATATTTAAAAAATCCCCATTTTTAGATGTCATAATCAGAAGACATCTAAAATATCTAAAAATGGGATTTTGTAATCTTACTCTTCTTCTCTTGTGAATTTAATGTCTTCAAATATGTTGCTTATTAATTTATGGGTATATTCAAACACAGCAAATTTAGAAACACAAGTATACAGAAAATCAACGCAGACAGATCATATACTCAACTATACTGGTAATAACCCAATTACTCACAAAAAAGACTGTGTGCAGAAATTGTTTAAAAGAGTTTAAACACACTGTAGCAATCCAGAGTTGAAAAGAATATGAATAAGGCATTAAGAAGACAAATTTCGCGAGATGATATCATTTCGTAGTTTCTTTACAACCGCTTTACAACTAACATGGTTAACAATGATAAAATAAAGTTAAATAAAAACAAAAGTACATACTAATCACCAATCATATTAACATGTAAAGAATAGAAAAAAATCCTCTGTCTGTCTGGATTCAACATAGAACTTGGCACCGAAGTGCAGCAGTTCGAGTTGCCACGTTCCAAATAGCACACAGAGGTAGACAAGAAGATGAGTGAAGAGAATCAATAGAGTTTGACAAGTATAAGAGTGAAACAGAATGGGTAATGGTAGAAAGGAATATGAAAGATTACAGAGACTGAATACATCTGCGCCATTGACAACGATTTTGAGCCATGTCACCTATTGTCTCCAGCCATTGATTCCTAGAGTCCCGAGGGCCCCAACCCGGGAGTCTGCATCTCCCTACCTGACTCAGTTTAACTGTCAAGGATTTCATGGATTGATGCCATGTTTTTGTTTGGCCACCACTGGCTCTTTTCCAACCTGAACCTATATCAGCTAGTAATGCCCGTCGGGGGAGGCGGTGGTTAGGCATGCGCAGCACGTGACCTAGCCATCTTAGTCTATGTAACTTTATAGCCTCGTCGATTGATTTTCCCTCTTTGCCCAACACTCTACGCCTAACGTCAACATTACTTACCTTGTTAAACCACCTAACGTGAGACAGAGATCGCAGACATCTATGATCGAAAGCAGTCAACCTTTTCATGTCTTCAACGCGTATTGGCCATGTTTCAGAGCCATAGAGAAGGACGGAGCGAACTGATGAGCAGTACACACGTCCCTTGGTTGATAACCGGATGTCACGCCTACGCCAGAGATGGTGTAAGTCAGCGAAAGCAGCTCGAGCTTTTCGGATCCGTGCTGAGATTTCATCGCCAATCAGTCCGTTGGTGCTAATACAACTTCCCAAGTAGGTGAAGTGGTCAACATGTTCTATCACTTCACTCCCTATCACTAAGTTAGGGGTTGACGTGGTCCAGTCCTGTAGCAGCATCTTACATTTTGCAGGGGCGAATCGCATGCCAAACATACGAAGATTGCTGCTCAAGGTGTTCAGAAGACTCTGCATTTTGTCAGCATCCTCCCCTAACAGGACTATGTCATCTGCATATTCTAAGTCCATAAGATTATTCCCTGGTAACAAGTCGATTCCTAAGTCACTACGTTCAGTTAAGGATACTTCCATTAGCATATCTATGATGAAGTTAAACAGAAATGGGGAAAGTGGACATCCCTGTCGGACACCACTGGTTGTTACCAATTCAGATGACAATTCCCCATAAGCCCTTACACGACTACGTGAGTTTGAATAGAGTGCCTTGATTAGTGCAATGTACTTTCTTGGCACTCCCTTCACAGTCAGACATTGCCATAGTACCTTTCGATCCACGGAGTCGAAGGCCGCCTTCAAGTCAAGAAATATGACAATTGTTGGACGCCGAAAAGTGTGTCTATGTTCTAGAATCTGTCGAAGAGTGAAGATATGATCTATGCACCCTCTACCTGGTCTAAAGCCTGCTTGATTTTCCCTTGTCTGTTCCTCCCGAGTTCTGCTTAGTCTATGCATGATTACTGAGCCTAGGATTTTAGAGACTATGTTCGTTAGGCTGATCCCCCTATGATTATCACACGAGGACTTGTTTCCCTTCTTGAATATCGGTATAATAAGTGACTTACCCCAGTCTGATGGTACTGTCTCTGATTCCCAGACTTTGCCTAGTACCTCAGTTAATCTACAAACTAGTATGTCACCCCCATATTTAAACACCTCCGGAATAATTCCGTCGGGTCCTGCCGCTTTGCCTCGTTTCAAATTACTGATAGCTTTTGTAACCTCACTTACAGACGGCGGACCAGTGTCTATATCCCATTCGGGTGTGTGTGGATGGGGGAGGTTCAGTGTGGCTGTAGGCAAGTTAAATTGTTCCTCAAAGTGTTCTTTCCAGCGTTCAAGGCGTCTATCCTGAGAGCTAATTAAGGAGCCATTTTTCTCAGAAATAGTCTCACTTATGAATTGCCTTCTCCCACCCGATTCTGTGATGAGTCTAAAGAGTTGCCTAGTGTTGCCTATCGCCGATGCTTTTTCCATCTCTTTCGCCTTTGTCACCCACCACTGTTCACGGTCCTTGCGGAGACTTTTAGTAAGTTTCCTTTTGTGCAGCTTTCGCTCCTCATTGAATTCGGAGCTCGCCGGAATAAGTCTTCTAGCATCTATCAGTTCGGATGAGGCAGTCGAAATCCAGTGGTTTTTACTCACCTTTGGATTTGGCTTATTCACAGCTTTTACAGCTGTATCTATAGCTGACTGAATATTCTTCCAGGCTTCTCCAGGGTGAGCACAGCTGTCGAATTCAGATATGCGTTTAGCTAGTTCTTCCTCAAATAGGGATTTAGTTTCCTGATCGAGCTGGGGACGTGATGGTTTTACCGCCAGCTGTTTCCTACGTCCGTTCAGTCGTAAGCACACACGAGCCCGGACCAGTGCGTGATCGGTATCTACACACGTGTTCCAGAAGGAGCGACAATCTCCTACCGACCCACGCCAACGATAGCTTATTGCTATGTGGTCTATTTGTGTCCAGCGTTGGTTTGATGATGGGGGTCGCCAGGTTAAACAGTGTCTCTCCTTGTGTTTAAAGTTAGTGCTTACAAGAAACAAATGATTATCTGAACAGAACTGTAGGAGACGGTCACCGTTGTCGGTTCGCTGGCACGGAACTCCATAGGTGCCACCGACATCCTTCTCAGATTGACACAATTTCCCTACTTGAGCGTTAAAGTCACCAGCTAGAACGACTATATCTGAGCGTTTAGCCTTTCTCACCAAACTAGACAGCTTTTGGTAGAACTCATCCTTCGTTTCATCCGAACTGCAGTCAGTGGGGGCGTAGGCGGAGATTACGAAAAGGCATCGGCGAGTAGTGCAGTCCTTTCTCCTTCTTACTGATCCGTTCAGACGGACAGCACACATTCGGCTATCTACTGGGATCCAGTCAAGCAATGTCTTTTCTGCCCTAGTACTCAAAGCTATCCCTACGCCAGCTAATCCCGTGAACTAGCTGTGGCATCTCCTGACACCCTCAAGGTGAATTTTGAAGATTCATCCTGTTGGCCAGGTGGGGTTAGGTGAATAACCACACTTGGGTCTTGTATGCGTGTTTCTGAAACACAACATACATCAATGGCTCGAGATGCCAGGGTCTTAGCTAGTGATGCTTGTTGTCCTATTTGGCAAAGTGTCCTAACATTAAATGCTCCTATATGAAATTGGTGGCGTGGCTTTAGGAGACTACCGGTGGTTTTTTGGCTTTCGTCGTTTTTAGTGGACACAGAGTGAAGAGGGAGTGAGGAGCCATCAAGTAGAGGAGTTGCATCAGTGGGAGGAAGGCAAGGTAATAGAGATGAAGATGAAGACAAAGATAAGTGAGGATTAGAGAGGTTTTGTGTGCATTTCGGATTGTGAGGGCGATTGTTACTTCCCGGCTGCCCACACCGTGGAAGTTGGTTGCGTGACCGCAGAGCCCAGGGGACAACTGCTTGAGGCCGGTCACACGCGGCCTGTTTTTGTTTGTTCTCTTTTGTTTGGTGTGCCTCAGTAGCATACTTATCACTCCTGCCCTGTGACACGGCAGCAGGAAGCGCGGTCGTTGTTAATCCGGGCCACGGCCGATCCGGCATGAAATTTTGTGAATTTGTTTGAATCATGGTATTGGATGGGGTAGCTGCTTTTTGTTTAACCGCTATCCAAACAACCTGCCTGGCATGGTAGAACCTCAAGAGACATAAGTCTCAGCCAGTATAGCTTGATTAGGTCATTGCGGTGTTCAAGCCCGACCACCACGTCAAGGTAGCAGCTACTAACTGTCTTCAAAAGGGATGGTTATCCACAAAATTTCATCAAAAAGTGTTTAAAATCGAATCACAACACCAACAAGAAACCATCATCAAAGACTACAACAAAATTCATCCTACCATAGACAAAAAATATCTCTGAAATAACAGCTAGAATATGGAAACCGTTTCATATAGATATAGCATACAAGCCAGCCAGTCCAATCGCTTAATTCGATATTATACAAACCGAAAGATCCAACAGAAAAAGGAGATAAAATTAATACC